AACAGTTTTGTCTGCTAACCAAATTTGAACACTTCCAACAACTTATTACCTATGACTCGTCATCATGAGGTATTCTTATATGGTTTGCTGTGGTATTTGTGGCATTTTTTTGGCTAGTGTAAATGATCTTATCTACCTTTGCCTCTTCAAGTAAAAGTAATGGTCCAACTGCAAACTGGTTCTGCCAAGCTGTATGCCTTAACTCAGCTGCAGTTGGTGGCTTAATTCATCTGTCTGCTGAGCTGCAGGGGACCAGAGGCCAGCAAATTACTTTGGTCTATTAACACAGCGCTTTCCTTCCTTTTCCTCACTTACACTCCCTATTTTTGTAATGGTGAAGACACGTTTGTTTAAAGATGTCTTCAGAAATTGTATTAGTGCATCTGGCTTGAACCTAGGTGCACAGTATTACTTCCACTGACATTTTTGAATAAAAAGATAAAAAAAAAAAAAAAAAAAAAAAAAGCAGTTATTTCCAAGAGCTGAGAACCTTGCACATGTTTTTGAGGTAATTTCAGTGCTTATTTTGTGAATACAATTGATTGAGAGGACTGCCTCTATTCTTTAGAACTTTTCAATCTGGGCAGACTGAATTTAAATGACTACATTTTTTAAAGTTCATGTAAATTACTTCCAATATGTCATTTTAAATAACCTAATTTTGAAAATGAGTCTGACAGTGTGACTTCCCTAATTTTGAGAGAGCTTACTACAATCAAGACATTGTATTTGAAAAAGAAAATTCCCTACTGTTAGTGCATTTTAGTTAAATTTTGTTACAAGCAGAAAGTAGAACATTGGAAACAAAAGTACTAATGTGCTGGTTCTGTAAGTAGATTAGCAGGTATGTAAACTCAATGTATATTTTTCTGACTGAACTGGCTATACAAATTCTTAATGTGCAGATGAGTTTACAGCATGCAGAACTAAAGTTGCATGTTTAACAAATGGTCTTCTCTGTCCCAAAGTCTTTGTCCCCTCGGGCCAAATATTTCCAGTCTCATACTTAGAGGATGAGTTTGGTAGATTTCAAAGCTGCCAGATATTATGGAAGATGGTGTTATGGTCAAAGAGTTATCAGGTTACTTCTTAAGAACAGAGTTGTACTGTAAAAAAGCAATCTTTCAAAAATGTTTGTTTTGTTTTGTTTTGCTTTTTTTTTTTGCCAAAGCACAAGCTAGTTGTTTATCTTGTGTGTGCGTATATGGGTTTCTTCTACTCTTCTTTTTTTTTTTTTTTTTTGTTTTGTTTTGTTTTGTTTTAAAGTAAGCCTTGATCATATTATTTATCAGTATGTATTAATTTATGTGTGAAGTAAGTGTAACAGGATAAGACAAAATACCTTCCATGCTGCCATTAACCCAACTTGTAGATAGTTAACAAACAAAAATTCCTGAAAGCCTAATATTAATGCAAACAATTGTTCATAGAAATAAACTTGCAAAGGAAAACTAGGTAGCTAGTTAAGAACATAAGTGGAATTGTAAAGCACATTTGATAGTAAAGTGGTAGGGTTATATATGAAAGTTGATTTTGAATAAATTTTATCTGTAGAAAAGTTCTGAACAGCACTGTTTCTTGTACACATTACTCCTACTCTTAAAATAGTTTTAACTTACTGTACTTTGCTTACCCTCAGATTCAGAGTAATTGATTAGACAGTATCTCTGTGTGGTAAGGCTATGGCTGTTCTCTGGCTGGTACATCCTTCTCTCAGGACAGTAGCTAAACTGCAAAAACTTTTCATAATAAGTTTAGGAACTGCTGTGGAGTTGTATCTTGTTTGCTTGGTTATGAACAGAAAAGAAACTTTGAGAGCTAAGAGCCTCTGCTGTCTTTAGCTCTTGTGAAATATTTTAAAGGGAGCTGCAAGTGCTAGGAACAGGAGAGGCAGGACAAATACCTCTCCATCAGTATGGCGAGAGCTGGGAAATTTGAGGATTTGCTGTTTTCATCTACTGCCTTTCTACTATGAGCAGATGCAATCTATTGGAAATAGTCTGGTTCCAAATAAAAAGCTTTGTTTTATTTGGTCTCAGTGCGTAACAGGCATAGGAGTTGCTATTTAAAAATACACCAACAGCATGTTTGTCTGAGTCCTAATACAAAATTAAAGTGTTGTTAACAAGTCAAGTGAATAAATGTAAAGAATTGTTTATTTCTGAGGTTGCAGTTGTCAGGACGAGAGGTTTTCACTGTAAGAGGGAGGAGAAGTCAATCAACACCCCCAAGCCCATAATAAATGGCAATTCATTTTGAGCCAGCATCCACAGAATTTTCTGGATTTTTTGAGAGCACGTTTTGAAGCAGTAGGTTACATGTTTAACTGAGGTTTTGGTCAGCATGTTGAGCTAGCCAGTCTGAGTTCCAGTAACGTGCTCATCAGGATGAGAGCAGGGAAACTGTCTGGCAGTTAAATCAGTGAACTATTTTTCTCATTGAAGAACTCATTAAATATAATGTGATTATTTGTGTTCAGTGTGTATGTTTTTTGAAATACTGAGCCATGCTGTGCACAAGGTGTCTGTAGGCTTTGGTAGAATATTGTTATAACCACTGAACAAGGTACCTTGTTTGCCATGCTTTGTCTCTTGATAGACTGTTCTTCTGAGTCTGAAATGGAAAGAATACTGAATTTTAAGGATGACTTACTGTAATCAGTCTAATAAAATAATTACTTACAAAATACAGATTTTTAACACTTCCCCACAGCACCTGTTATTTACAGTTGAGTTGCCTGTCAGTCAGGCAGTCTGAAGTACTTGGTGTTCAAGACAGTGTTGGGTTTATGTATGTTTGATATCATCCATAGTTTGGCTCATGGAACAAGATGGCAGGGATATTTATAATTTGTTTCTAACCTTAAAGTTTTTTCTCTCATGTGATTGCTACTGGCAAAAGTAAGAGGATTACTTGAGTTCCCATTAGAAAAGGATATCCTCTGCTTCTGATTTTGCCAGCACCTTTATAAATATAGAGCTTTGTAGCAAATACTGTTGTAGTTGAACCCCAGCCAGCAACTAAGCCCCGCACAGAAAAATCAGAAGAGTAAAAGTGAGAAAATGCCTGGGTTAAGATAAAGGCAGTTTAATAGGTAAAGCAAAAGCCCCACACCCAGGTGCAACAAAGCAAGGAATTAATTCACTACTTCCCATCAGCACACAGGTGCTCAGCCACCTCCAGGAAAGCTGAGCTCCAACATGTGTAACTGTTACTTGGGAAGACAAACATCGTAACTCTGAACGTGTGGCCCCCTTTCTTCTTCTCCCCCCAGCTTTATATGCTGAGCATGATGCCATATGGTATGGAATATCCATTTGGTCAGCTGGGGTCAGCTGTCCTGGCCGTGTCCTCTCCCAACTGCTTGTGCACCCCCAGCCTGCTCACTGGTGGGGTGGGGTGAGAAGCAGAAAAGGCCTTGGCTCTGTGTAAGTGCTGCTCAGTAGTAACAAAAACATCCCTGTCTTACCAACAGTTTCCAGCACAAATCTAAAACATAGCCCCATGAAGCTTCTATGAAGAAAATTAACTCTATCCCAGCCCAGCACACATTGTAATATAAACACAGGACATGTGAAATGGTCAGCATATAGGCAGCGACATTGGCTTGGGAAATGCTCATGCTGAAGCATGGTATTTCTGGAAAATGTGGACTTTTGAGATTTGCAGAGGGAATATTTTCTGAACACAAAATTAACGATAGTTTCAGAAGTTCAGATGCACAGGACAGACACGCAAGAATGAAGACAAATGAGTAGCAAAATGAGAATTGGGAAGAGGTAGATCGGGTGAACTCTGAAGGCAAGCTTGTCTGTGTCGCATCTTGTGATGAAGGGTGGGTGTAGTGTACTTTGAGGTGCCTAAAAACTCCAGTGAAATGACAGTAAACAGGAGGAACTTGTAGAAGTGGAGATGAGGGTGATACTATTTTTCAGGAGTATTAAGGTGAAGGCAAATGAGAAGATGATAGTGGGGAGATCTGAGGAGAGAGATGAATTACCATCATGAGGGCAGAACTGACTCTCCAAACCTGCAGCAGGCTTACACTGGAGGAGATGCCAAAGGGCAGCCAGGGAAAAGGAGCTAGTTATCAGGGTATGCTGCAGCCTGGACTAAGAAAGGTGAATACAATGTGAAGGTTGCACGGAGGGTGGGTATGGAGAGAAATCATATGGCACAATGAGATACTCGGTGGGAGAGACGCTCTTCAAAAGTGTTGAGATTTTTAAAAAGTATTTTCTGGGAGGAATGAGGAAAGGAAAGGGCCGATGTGTACTTGATTTTGGAGCAAAAATTAGTATTCCTATAAGCATACTTCTTTGAAAATTTTTATGTACGTAGGTGGTGGCTGCATGCAAATTGGATGTGCTGGATAATTTTTGCGGGTTAATGGTGTTACCAGTGGTACTATGACACTTCAGGATCCAGGTGTGGAAACAGTTGATTCATCAGTGTGTGGTTTGCATACTAATTATAACATAGCTAATTATTGTATTTAAAAGGAGTATGAAGACATACTGGCAACTTTCTTCTTTCACACCTACCTTATAAATACTTCTTAGAAAATTAAGATTTTTCAGTAGTAACTATTGCAAAGCTGAACTTCTTCACATATCAGTGATGTAGACTTTTGGTGGAGATGGTAATAACAATTAATTTAAGCAGCTGCTCTTTATTTATAATTTCCCCTTAACTGTAATGGTTAACCACAGCCTGGTTTCTTGAGATAACACTTTATGGCAGAGAATCACCTTGTTTGATATATAGAGATTATAAAATCATATTGTTGTGCATAACAGCTCAGCTATAAATGAGGCTCAAGCATAGTGTAATATGGTCAGCTAATGCTCCCTGATCTGTATTTCACATGTGGTGCTCTGTTAGCACTCTCAATATTTTTTTAATTCTGTTTCCTGAAAATCTTTTCCAAAGCACTTTACTGACCTTTATTTTAATAATTACAAAAATCCATATTTTTGTTTTGGTTTGTTTTCTTGCAGGAAGCATCATAAAATCTTAATCAAGTGAAAATGGCCCTTAGCAATCTGACATCAAAGGCTGTACTACTGTATGATGAATGGATTAAAGATGCTGGTGAGTCATTTAAATCTGAAACTTATTAATTTTCAATAATTTTGAATAGTAATGTATAGCTATTCTGAGTGTACTGTTTATAATTTTTTTTTAAAGTAGCTTTGTCTTCCTGTAAATGTTTCTAAGACTTGCCAGGTTACCTCGACATTAACTATGAAGAACAGACCAGTTTCTGCATTTTAAAACAGGAAAAAAGCAAAACTCAGCTAGCTTATGGGTATAATCTCAGACTAAAAGTGCAGACAGTGATTTTTCTGTAAGAGTTTCTGGCTTGCCTGAATATATAGTTTGTTTTTCCTGTGCTGCTGAATAGAAAGATTGAATTCTTTTTCATTACTGAACGATGGTATTTTATCAGTTAATTGAGCTAGCTGCATGCTGCTACTGTATTTTGCTTTTGCAAAGTGAAAGAAATAAAAAACTTGATAAGTTACAGTATCTTGAAATTAATCCTCAGAGAAATTAACTTTGTCACAGTTCTATCTTGAAAAGGCATGTTAGTCTCTTGTTGCAGCTGTTACGAGGATATTAAATGCACTTTGCTTTAATGTTGTTGTTCTGTAGTTCTACATGCTTATCAAAAAATGACAGAGAACATCTCAAGTTTGGGGTTAAGACCCACCTGTCACAGTGGCATCCCTGAGTGTTCCTCACTCAGGTAGGCACATAGTGACAGGGATTAGATAACTTCTGAGAAAAACTTGAGAAGCAGTTAAGGTTTGATCACTCAAATTACTAATTTATCTTTTCCAGTATGGCTGAGAACCATTTCTCTTGTTCTGTAGAACCACAACATGCAAGTGAGAAGGGTTTTTTATCAGTATGACTTGTGGGGTGAAGTGGATTGGGATGGAGCTAGGTGAGTGAGCATTTCTGCTGCATTGTCGGAGACTTGAGACTTTGAGTTCCTCATCTCCCTGCCTACCAGTGCTTGTATTTGGCATCTCATGGCATACTGTTAGTGGCAGGATGTGGTTTCTTCAGGATCAAGGTTGGAAGACCAGTGAGAAAAGAGGTGGATGCAGAAAAAGCGTTTAGTTGTGAAGAGCTGGTGATTCTCTTGTTGCTGGTGCAATGCATACAGATGCCTTGTGCTGTGGTTCACAACCCTTGTTGGTCTGTGGGCAGCAGCGCTGGGCACATTACAGGCTGTGAGCTGATTTATAATGTGCTTTCCTCCTCGATCTGTTTTAAAACTTGCAGTGGCTGTAAACAACATCAGAGGGTCTCATGGGTGATAGGATGCTTGAATGCTGTGAGTTGAAAATCACTGACTTTAAGACATTTGGCTATGAATTAAACACTTAACAAAAGTTGCAGTGGTATAATTTCACCCCCGAAATACAGCAGCAAACTAAGAAAACAGCAGTTTACTGAGTCAATAGTTAAGTTTGGGGTCATTCAGAAATGAATCTTCCAAAAACAAAAACCCAAACCAAAACAAACAGAAAAACCCAACCAACCATGAAGTTCATATCAGTTCTCCTGCTTATGGAGAAATATGGAAGTCTCTGGTGAGCTGAGACTTGGTGAAGAACCACAGAATGGTACAACAGAATCAGAGGGAGCACCTGCCAGACACTGCTGTGGGGAGAGGGAAGAGGACACGTGTAGGAGCAGGACTCTGCGGTACTTCTGGGATAACTGGAGAGGAACTTGCAACACTTCTGCCATTTGGAAGCTTGTAATGTGAAAGTGTGTGTTTTGTGGTGCTGTGAAAGTGGAGACATGTCTGGACTGAATAGGCACAAGCCTCAAATACTGAGCTGTGAATACCAACTGATGAGACAGATGGGCTTCTAACTTTAAAACCCCCATACTTACTATGTTTAACATCGTACTACTTATAAAGCTCAAGGATCTTGAAGGCAGGACTACTCCTTGTCTATGGCTTGAACTTGTGACATCAGGTTCATGCTTTTCCAGAAGAATGAAGTCTGACGTGGAAATGCAGCCTCAGTGATCTGCTTGTGCATTGCTGTCCTGTGCCGCCCTATGAGCCCCGCTCGTGGGTGAAAATGCAGACTTTTCATGAAGGAGAGCTCTAGATAGAAAATCGTGTCACTCATGATTCTGTGTCTGCTCTTCATTATGTATGGAGAAATGGTACAGAAAGAAGTGTTGAATCCTACAGGTGCTAAAATCTTGTTATTTTGTCATTATGGGTTTGAGGGTTTGAGGTGAATAGACTGAAACGTGATCAGCGACAGCAAAACCTAAACCATTAAGTATTACATATCTTTCTGTAGCTTGTTTAGAATTTACTAAGTACTGGAAAGACCTGATAGATTTTTATTTTGATTTCCCCCTTTCCACTTCCCCCCCCACCATTCTCCCCTGTAGATCCAAGACTGGAAGGCTGGCCACTCATGTCCTCACCTTTTCCAACAACCTTTATCATTGGAACCTACATCTATTTTGTCACTTCCTTGGGACCCAAACTCATGGAAAATAAAAAACCTTTTGAACTCAGGCAGATAATGGCATTTTATAATTTCAGTGTGGTCGCCCTCTCTTTATATATGACTTATGAAGTAAGTACTACTTTTATTTGTAATGTATTTATATAATTTGTGTCTCTAGCTACTAACTTTTAATAAAATTATTAATATAATTCCTCCTCTGAAATTCTAAAAAAACCTATTATTCTGATTGTTGTAACTATATTCCTTCGAAGCAGTGTGCTAAACTAATTGAGCTGATATTGAAAAAAGGGAGTAAGTCATACCTAGAAAGATTGTAAAATATTTAATGTGTCATTATATATAATTTACAAAATTTTAAAAATCTTATGTTTAATTTTCCTAGGCTGTAGCAGGTAAAGCAGAGTACATGTTTCTTCTTATTCTTTTGTAATTGTATCTGTCCTACTACATGATAGTCAACACTGATATTTCAAAAACTCTGTATAGAGTGTTTACTATGCAATAATCTTCAGTTAAATCTGCCTTTTAAATGACAGAAGTTAATAAAATCTAATTTGGGGATCTTCATCTTTAAAAAAAAAACAACACACAAAACCAACCAAAAACCTAACAAAAACCCCCATCCAAAACCCAAACCATGAAAATCTTTAGCATTGATTTATTTTTTTTTTTTTTTCCCCTCAGTTCTAAAATAGAAAATGCTCTTTCTCACCGAAGGGATGTTGAGAGTTTGCTGTAGTTCGTAGCCAGAACAAATGTTAGGTTTTAAGACTGGAAAGCCTGAGATATGTAGTATTATGGGTTGAATGACCTAAAATTCCTTAACCATGAGTGGTATACATTTACGTAGAAGCTTTAATTTAGAACCTTAAGCTAGTTAATGTCTGAGGTTTTTGTGGTTTGTTTTTTTGTTTTGTTTTTTTTTGGTTGTTTTTTGGGTTTGGGTATTTTTTGGTTGGTTGTTGGGGGTATCTTTTTTGAATCATTGTTTTTTTAAATTGTAGCCATTTACCAATAGTATTGTGTGAATGATAGCCTTATACATTTTCTTGGTGAAGCATCACTATGCTAGTACTGTCCCTCTTTATGTTTAAATCTGACTATTTCAGGTTTGGCAAACTGGTAATGAACGCTTGTCAGATTATTGTGCCAAACTGGCAGGATACCCTTCTGTTAGCTCAATTTGCATAAATTTCATCATGAGTTAGTGAACTGCTAGACATTTCTTCTAACATCACTCTAAAGGCAGTGCAACTACTTTGTCGTGACTGTGAAAGTGGTGGACAAGATGTGTGAATTGGCTATTTAGATTTTGTTTTGAAAAATCACCAAACTTCCTTTTGTGATCTGATGCCAAGTTTGGTTTTTGCTATAACCCTCAGAAACAAGAAAAAATACTAAAGTTATGTTAGTGTCTGACACTAACACAATATTCAATTAATCTGCTGTCAAGACTTCCATGTTACAATTTCATGAAAGAATGCATGGATAAAGTGTACCAGATTGAATTTCTTATATTGCCTGGTGCTCAGCAAAAAGCTGATTCTTCCCCTCTTTGGAACCAAGCCATTTGGTGGGTGTTTTAGTGTTGTACTGTCTTGGTGTTGTTTCAAATCTTGTTTTATTTAAGTAACTGATTCTTTTAGGAAGTTGAACAGTCCAAACCCCTCAATCTGTTAAGAGAACTGAACCTCCTATCATGCATGAGTGGATGATGATCAATGGATGACAAGCATTTTATAAACAGATATAAGATACAGTAGTCCTAGTGGCTGGCAGCAGAATGAGCCAAGAGTAATTTTAACAATGGTGCTCTTGTCTGAGCTTTAATAAATTTGAAAATAAAAGATTACATTATTTTTGTTACATACAGTTATTTGTCAATACATGTGCTCTTGATTGTAAAATCCTAGCTTCTTATTGCTCATATCAGTGAAAGACAAATTGAACCATTCAGTTTAAGCAAAATTTTAGAAACTATGATACTAAAAATACAGTACATACTGATTTATTCCTTGTCTTCAGTGATATTAAGCCATATTTTTTCTGTTGTGCTGGTTTTCTTTCAGTATTAAGATGCTGTGCTGGTTTCTTTTCAATATTAAGATGGTTGGCTGTGATAGTAATTTCCAAAAATCTCAAAATGTTTTATTTCTTTTTGTGGTCTGATTTACACAGTAAGTTGTTTTTCTAACATTGGTTTTGAGATGCAGCTGTTTCTCCTCTTCAATTACTCATGCTGAAATAATGGGTGTAGGAAGAAAGTTCTTGTCTATAGGTGTAGTCCTGGAATTATAAATTCATTAATCTGCAATAGCAGAAGATTTCATGGTAACTAGCCCACACAGAGGTAGATAATTGACAAGGTTGCTGATTCAACAAGGTTTGAATATTGTTTTTCCCTCCTGCTTAGTGATTGAAATAGTAATCCAAAATTAATGAATTTTTCAAAAAGCATGAAGTAAATCTTTGCCGTTTCCCTTTTTTTTTTTTTTGCCCCAGTTTCTTATGTCAGGTTGGGCCACAGGGTACTCATTCCGGTGCGATATTGTTGACTACTCGAGGTCACCTACAGCTCTAAGAGTAAGTTACCAAGCACAAAGCTGAATTGTTATGCTATGCTGACTTTATTTTTAGAAATGCTTTTTTGAACGACCAAGTGCACTGTTGTAGAGTGGAATTCACTAAATGGAAATGTCCTCTTGCATAATGTAGAGCATGTGAGTTAACTGGAGGGGTTGATTGTTTGGGAGAAAGGAGGCAAAGTATTATTCTCAGTTTTAAAATTCCTTCAGGATTAAAAAATGGCTTGTGTATTGAAAGAAAAAACAAACTGTACATTTAAATATTTCTGTCAACTTTGTGACACCACTTTCTTGTCCCAATAATTTCCTTTATTTACTTTTTTTTCTGCAGCTGCTTAGTTTTATATATGACTTATGATTTGACAGTTTCTGTTTTTTGCTCTTGCAGATGGTACGGACTTGTTGGCTTTACTACTTTTCCAAGTTCATTGAATTATTAGACACTGTAAGTGTTTGTAGCCTAATGAAAGAAGTAGAGATGTTTCCTTTTCACAGTAGAACTGTTGCTGTTGGGGGTATAAATTGCTTTTTATTTAGCCCTTCAGTCTTCAATTATTGGAATATCATCAAGGTGTTTACCTTTATCTCTTCTTATCTTTTTGTCCCATTACACTGTTGTTCCTTGATTATCAGGAAAATTTTTAATGAGGGAACACACCTTCAGAAGTTTAGGAAACCCTGGTAATTTGTCTGCTTAACAGCTGAATACACTACCCTATTGTGCTATGGCAATGCTTTTCTCAACACTGCAGATGATAAACAGTGTTGATCATGCTGAATCTTTTTTCCACGTCATCTTCAGATTTTATCTTCCACATTCAGAATATTTGCATCAACAGCTCTAAATACAGCGTAATTTGCTGTACCTACCTGTTATAAATTCCTGAGTATGCTTTGGGGATCATGACTATAGATGTGTTTGATATTAGGCTGGCACTCTAACCTGTTTCAAACAAAGTCCGAGTAGCAATGCATTGAAGCAGAATACAGACCTTGCTCACCACCAGCAGCTATCTGCCTTACCCTCTTACCCAGGCCAACACCTAGTAGGGTTGGTTTAGCTATTTTCAAACCAGCTTTTGTGTCTTGGAATCAGATTATTGTGTGGGGCACTATAGTGGTGATTCAGTAGATGGCTCATGAGCAGTTTAGGACGTTCTACACCCTGGAAGCAAAGTTAGCTATCTAACTTTCATCTGCGAATGCTCATGATTCAGCACTGGAAGATCTTACTGACAGAGCCAAATGAAGTGGTAGTGGAAGGGCCAGGAATGCTAAAACTGGAAAAGCCTGACAAGTTGAGTCATCTATTTACCTTTACTACCCACTAGTTAGACTGCTCCTTTTTAATTACTACTGGGCCTGAAAAATTGTTTTTAAAAATTTGTTTTGTTTGATTCCACCCCATCAGGTACCTGTTTCGCAGCTGCTTTTTAGTTTTACTGCAAAATTAATTTCTTAGCTGTATTTGTCAACTGTTGCCAAATGGTTTCCCTGGCACATCAGACTTATTTTCTTATGTGTTCATTTGCTGACCATGTGATATTACCCTTTGTATGACTTGACTTCTTACACAGTTTTCTTGCTCTGTCTTCCCTTAATGTCTTCCCCTTGATGTCTGTCCTTTAAAATGTGGTCTATCAATATTAATTAAAATACCTACATATATTTTGTTCAAATTTACCTTTTCCCAAAGTTAGCTAAGCAAATGTTCATAATAAAGTGCTATTTCTGTAACTTAATATTTTCTACTGCTTCTATCTGTGTCTAGTCCTTCAGTTCATTTTCTCAAATGGCCTTGCATTAGTAGTTCAGGGGACTTAAAATCTGATGCTTCTAGATACTTCTCAATCCAAGCAAGTCCATTTTACACTGTTTGTTGCGCACAGGTGATGGCTCAACCTTCGACATTTGCTTTCAAAGCTTGCCCTGGCTTTTGAGAATCCACAGGTGGATTTTACATACTGATTTAACTCTTTTTGTAAACTAGGCTGCATATTCAGAGCCTGTTTCCCTTCTTCCAAGGCGGCAACTGTGAAGCATTTGAAAATGTATAGTAGTGAGCAACCAGTGAGAAAATTGATGCATACAGTTTTCTGTAAGTATGTTGGGCTTGATTACCTCCTGTAACATTTTGTCCATTAAAAATCTGTTTCAGATATTTTTTGTGCTGCGTAAGAAAAACAACCAAGTTACATTCCTGCATGTCTTTCATCATTCCATCATGCCATGGACCTGGTGGTTTGGAGTCAAATTTGCTGCAGGTAGTGGAGAGAGAGTTTAAGTTGTACCTGTCTTCTGGTAGTAAAAGTTAACTATGCTAGAAAAAAATATTTAAAGAACAGAATTAAAAATCTTGCAAACATCAAAGTTTATTTATATTTAATACTTTGGCTTTCACAGAGCTACTGAAATATTTTCCCGGACCTTACTTATTACAGAAACTTATTGGAATCATTCTGAATTGAAAGTCTTTGTCCACTTCTAGCTTACCTTCACTTTCTCCTTTCCTGCTCTGCATGTCTATGCTTGCATCTTCCCATGATATATTATTAGTGTGCACCACTAATAAGTATAGCTTGCCATGAGACTAGCCTGATAAGTAGACAGTGGAGAAATGCACAGTCATTTAGTAGTCATCTCTAGGAGGTGTGAGGGAGTTTTAGGAGTTTCTTCCATGTTTCTTCACTCGTTCTCTGGCATGTTTTTTTCCTCCCAGAAAATCAGTGGTGAATTGATAGAATCATTGCTTATTAAAACTAATCTGTTAGTGCCTTTTTTGTGAATACAAAAATAAGACCTGGAATCAGTCCAGAAAATTTGTCGGTGGGGTCTTTTGAACACATCCAGTGTACAGATTTTCCTAGTGTATAAAAGGATATACTTCTGCAGTATTTGTCAAGTTTCTGTTGTTAGGAAGCTGGTGCCTTGATTATGTCTTTCTGAAATGTTTCTGAGTAACTGGTATTTTAAGTTAATGAGAAGTTCTGAATAGCTTTCTCAGCATACAGTTCAGTATGTTTACAGATTTACAAACCAAAAACAAACAAAAAAACCACAACACCCCCCCCCCCCCCCAAAAAAAAAACCCAGCAACTAACAGTCCCTCCTTTTCAACCTTGAAAAGCTTCTGTTTATAAGTGATTAACTTTTTTATCTGGTCATCATATCAGTATACCAGCTACAGGCTTCTGATTTTGCATCAGATTCAAATTTCTCATGTGATAATTTGACACGTGCTTCCAGAAAAGTGTGCAAGGACTGTTTCGTCCTCTGCTAATAATAGTCCCTCATACTCATGCAGAGCTGCCTTTGTTTCTACAACTCTATTGCTTATCTTCATACTAAACTTTCCAAATATTGTTCTGTTTGATAATCTGAATTTTTTCCCAAGAATTTTAGTCCTGCTGCTGATTGTCTTGTATCCAGTTTCATCACTGTTTGTCCTTCTAAATAGTGACATTGATCAAGTTTTCAACCTGTTTGTAAAAAAAAAAAAAAAAAAAGAGTTGGAATAGAGATGGTGATTATTCTCTGATCTGATATAAGCAGGGAATTGTACAATGGTGCTTATGTATGGTGATCCTTTTTGGAGCATATTTTTGAACTGTTGATTAGGTTGTTTTTTCTCTGCTTTAACTATTTATTTTTTCTTCTGAATATTCAATGTGCAAGCCAAAAAAAGTATGTATGTTTGAACTGTAGGAACACTGAAATTATTTTTAAAAATACAAATAGCTATGTTTCAAACAAAGTTTGCAATCACAGCTGGAGGTGTTATGATCTATCAAGCTGGAAGATTACTGTGAGCTACTAAAATCACAAAGTATGTTTTATTTTTAACTTGATTCTTAATGGAAAATTGGCTTTTTTTCCTCACTAATCATCTGCTTTTATTTTGTTTTATTCCTGATGCTCAGTATGTTCATGTTCATATTTCTCTTAAAAATACTTTGCTGTCTGCCACTTCTTGGATGATTTTTACTTATTTCTTGTGTTCACTAACATAAAATTACTTTGAGCAGGATCATCTAACTTCATAGTTGATTCAATGGAAAAGGAGTTATTTCCTTACTTCCTTTTATTTGTGAAATGTTCATATCTTACCAGTTTGTCATGAGTTTGTCTCAAATGGGGCTACTTGGCCTTAAATTTCCTTTTCACTGTAAGAATGCTTTTGAGATGGACAATGGATTTGTGAAACCCTCATTTAGGTCATGATTCTAAAAGATTACTGTCAGAAACCATGATTCTTTCCCTGGGAATCTGGAAATCTGTGTTGGGGAGAGAATTATTACTTATCCTCCAGAGCTTTGCAAAGTTCATAATGATGTCTAGAAAAAAGGTGTAAAAATAGGAGAAACACTGCTTCTACTAAATTGTCTGTGTCTCCCTCATTTATGTATTTTAATAAAATACAATAAAAAAATGAGCCCAAAGAAGAAAATGTCAATTAAAACCTTTTACAGATTAGTTAGGCTTTACAGCTGTTTCAGAAATGCGTAGATAAGTCTTTTCTGAGAAAGGAAACTGAAACTGATATGTTCCCTCAGAATTGGTGTCAACCCAATTCAGGTTAAATACTTCAGGAGTTAATCAAAGTTTGTAGGTTTTGTGGTATGCGTTTTTTCTACCCTGACTCAAAACAAATTACTAGGACCTGAGGTGGCTTTTTAAATACCCGATGCACTAGGGCTACTGTGTTTTGTTTTTCTTTAGGTGGTTTAGGAACATTTCATGCTTTGCTGAACTGCATTGTCCATGTTATCATGTACACTTATTATGGAATCTGTTCTTTGGGACCAGCCTATCATAAATATTTGTGGTGGAAAAAATACATGACAACTATACAACTTGTGAGTAATTTTCTTTTTGATTTAAACACCTCTTGGAAAGTTGATTGTGGCTAACACAGACTTGATGCAATGCATATGTACTTTTAGTTAGTTTCATGTATGTAGCTTACAGTTGGTACAAGGTTTGCTTGTGTTTTAATTGAGTAAAAAAAGTTGTTAGTTCCCTTCAGTTACATACTTAAATCTGCAGACTTCAGCGTTCACTATAATCACAGATTTAGACACGAGCTTTTCAGTTATGCAATACTAGGTAAATATATTTATAAAACTCATTGCCTGTATAAAACTGATTAAAATGTCAGTTTGTACCAAGAAAACATAAATAATGTACAGAATACACATATGACTAGTAGTGAGGAAAGGGATAATAAGTATTTATTTAGAATTTCATGTATGTTCTTTCATAGAAAACATTTATATTTAGAGAATTTACCTCTCTCTAACCCAGACCATTAAAAAATGCTCTTGCAGTAGTTACATTAGGTGTTTTATCAGCCATAGATCACTTTCAAAAGGCTACTGCTTTGAGTGCTTTTTCATGCCTGGCTTTTTAATAGCCAAATTTTCAAAATTCAGCTTCTGGCTAAATAATTAGTTTGGTCTGAGCAAAGATGCTGATGGAGGAAGGAAAGGAGCAGGGAGAAGCAGCCATGGCTGTTTGCTTGCACCAGGCCTGGTGTTAATAGAATGGCTTATATAACCATGTGTAACGCTGAACAGTTTAATTTGAATATTTATAACTTAAAGTCTTTTTGTCTTGGAGGCACTACTAGTAGATGATTAACTTGGACTTCATGTGGAATTTTTTTTTTTTAATTCTCCATTTAATTGTTTTATGGGACCTGCAGTTCTCTGTGTCACATGCTAGTGTGTGGGGAACATGGAAATTCATGTTCACCAACCCTGCAATGATTGCCTTTTTGTTTTTTCTAGCTAGTTTTTCTGAAGGAACATGCCATTTGTCACTGGTCAAGCACTGTCTGCCTCCTTTCTTCCCTGAACTGTCCAGGGCACACTCCTCTTTTCCTAGTATGGGTTTCTCAGTGCTGCTTGTAATTCAGTTTGTCCCAGGACTTCCCTTTCTTTATGCTGTGAAAGTGTTTTTCAGTGGAGTAGCATTTTGGGAGAGGGGCACTAAAGGTGCATCTCTGTCATTTTAAAAAGCCCCCTCCTCCTTTCTGTTTTTCTGTATGCAAGTTATGCTGAATCTTTTTAAACTTCTGTGGTAAGTTTGTCATTTATTTAAAAAGTTTTTATTTTCTTCACCTTTTTCCTCCAGGTCCAGTTTATTATGATTACAGGCCATATAGGACAAATCTACATCATGGATGACTGTCCGTATCAGTATCCAATTTTCATGTTTATTATTTGGCTATATGGCTCTATGTTTTTAGTCTTGTTTCTCCACTTCTGGTACCACGCTTACACAAAGGGACAAAGACTACCAAAGATGGCAAGAAATGGGATCAGCAAAGATCAGTGAAACAAACTCTTGTCTCTAAAACCAAAAAAGTGTCTGTGTCAAATTGGAAACTTGCACTATTTGACAATCAAGATATTTAGGTGCACACACTACATGATGTATATTTTGTATGTTTTCTTCCAAAACAGAATTTGTATTTTTACCATAAATTATTTGGAATTCAGAATTTGGGAGGTGAGTGGAGCAGCATAGGTCTCTCATTTGAAGAAGAAATAAAAAAAAAAGCAGGCATTTTTTTCAACAACTTTTTCATGTCTATCCTGTAACAAATCAATGGATGGATGATCTCTATCTAGAAGATGCGTGAAAATAAAAGTATTCATTGGGAAAATTAAAATGTGTATGACAAGTACTAAATAGTCTGAACACTGAGAAGAAAAAAATTACTTGACCTGAAATGTTATAAGTTGCTGAGACTGTCAGCTGCATTTTATTAAAAAAACCAAATCATCAGTAAGTACTGTTTATGGAATATAAAGCTCATTATTAAGATAGTTCATACATAAACATTGTTACATGTGTTTACAAACTATATGACCTTAAAGAAAGGAATGTATGTTAATCTGTCAAGATATAGTGTTTCATCTGAAGATCATAGATTTTTGTATATACTATCTTTTACTAAGATAACTTAATTCATTTCATGTTCTACTCGAACATTACTCTGAATGTAAGAAACCTACTAATATGGGGATTATATGAACTGTTGTAGCATAATGATAAAAAAATCTTACTGACTTGTTCACCAAAGTAGTCTAATATACTTATTATTCAATGTATTTATGGAGATATTTTGATATTGGTAGCCTAGGCTGTTTAGGGAAGAAAAAAAAAAATCTTGAAAATCAATAGCCAAAATCTTAGACATCTAGTTTTAAAAAAAATATTTTTTGATTGAAGCCTGAGTGTCACCTAGCATGACTGTACTGTGCTCTATTTTCTTCCACTTCCGTTATCTATTGAAATACATGCCTAGAAAGATTTTCTGGTGGGTTTTTTTTTGTGGTTTTTGTTACCATTGCTGTTTGGGGATTTTTGTTTGTTTGTTTTTTATGATTATTATAGTTTTTAATAACTCAAGGTTAAAGTTTCTCCATTAATAGTACCACTTACCTTGTCCCAAACTAGGCAAAAAGATATGTGCCATTCTCTGAGCTGCTGAGTGGACCGGGCAGTGGTGGTGACTGGGCAAGACGCCAGTCTATGTAGAATTAACCAGTATGTTGTTTTCCATGGTTAGGCAGATTGTTAGGGTCTCACATGTATAGAAATCAAAGGACCTAACTATTTGTATGCAAATTGCATTTGTACTGTATGAGTTTATTAAGGAATTGGTATGTGCAACAGACCTCTAAATGAGGAGCTAAAGGTGTTTAAATTAATGATACGTTTAAAAGTACTGTTCTTTATTTTGTTCACTACTAACAGAAAAGAAACTTGTGATACTTGCTTTGTTGATCTTTGCGTTTTCAAACACCCAAAACTTTGAGACAGATTTTATTTGCTTCCCTGTTGTACAATTCCAAGAAAATAAGTTTTGTTACCTGAATACTTTTATGGGAATACTGACATTTATGTTGCATTGTTAATGCTAAAAGAATTTAAAGTTTCTCTTGGATATGAGTTGCAAATGACTTCTTCTGAGATTACATACAAGTCTTCTTTATAAAACAAATAAAAATAATTTATATCTTATATTTGCAGTACTTAATCCCTGTAGCTATCAACGTGGCAGATTGAAAATAGATCCCAGAAAGGATTTGGGTGGCTTGAGATGTATATTGTGACCCTTGAAATTTGTATGCTTGACCCTACAGTCCTCAGTGCTGAGTTTTTGCTCCCTGGCAGTGCATGTGGAGAGGTGCTTTAGCACAGAATCTAAGAGCAGCTGGGGTGCCACACAGGTTTTCAGTGGGAAAGGCAATCATTGACTCTCAAGTCTCAAAATCTATCAGCCTTCAGCCTGTGTGTATGCCCTCGGCTTCCAAAGTAGGGGCTCATCTCCTGAGGACAGAGCCATACCACTGTTCTTTCAAACAGCTGGAAAGGATTTGCCTCAGATTTATTTTCAGAGCCTGAATTGTGTCTGGTTTTTATACAGCAATTTATTAACTAAGTACTGATGAAGAAAGTGGGGCAATTTGGTTCATTTAGGCCTTCTTGAGCCTGCAGGTTCTAATGTGTTTGGGAAATGCAGGCCTTTTGGGGAAAGAGTGTGATAGTTAGTCTGCAGTATAAGTTGGATGATGCGTCCTCTGGAGGGAAGTAGGCATTACTCTCTAGTCTTGCAGGTGATTCCTGTGCTGGTAGGGGAAATCCCAGTTCTGGTCTGCAATTTTGCAGTTATCCCCTCCTCCGTAAATATGCATGGAGGAATGTGTCCTGCAGCTGCATGTGAGGGCCAGATACTTGTTTGTTGGTTTGGGACCTAAATCTGCAACTCATTCTTTAAACTCACTTGAGCTTAAGTAGGAGCTGAGACTATACACAATCAAAACTAAGCAGCTCGGCACATGGAGGGGTGCTGAACAGAAAGAAGCCAGGAAAAACTTGAATGTCCAGCAGTTGTACAGTAGCCAACTGCCTCCAGAGTCAGTTTGAGATTAAGAATTAATAAGCAGGAGCAGAAACTGGAGATGCTAATCATTAAGTGGGCTGTCAGCAAGTGCCATTTCAGATTCCTAGTGTGTGATTTCTTGCACACTGGTTTAGTTTTCTCTAAATCATGAAGCATTTGAAGAAAGAGAATCCATTGTTTCAGTGTTGTATGGATGTATCCTAAGTGGTTGCATATAACTTGACTAGGCTCATGACATCAGTACAAAATGTTATTAAACCTCATCTTCCTAGGCACAGTATTGCAACCTGTGAGAATCACACAATCTTGATCCAGAGTTACATTTTTTTCTGCCTAAAAATTGCACATCTGAGATGCTGATGTGTATTATACATCTGAGTTATGCTAGAAAGGGAGTGTAACAGCGAAATCGTTAGAGTGAATGTTCACTGATGAGGGGAATCGGGTTGAAATTTTGTATGCCTTAGGTTTGGTGGAGGAGAAACACTAGCATTACTACCTCTTTGTGTCCTAAGAAATTGCATCCTGAAAATTGGGGACTTTTTTTTTTTTCCCCCCCCCTTATTTAGTTAATGAGAAGACTGTATGCTCTTTATCAAGGTGGCAGTTCACCCCACAGTATTTTATTGATGCGGTTGTTTTCCACACCTGTGTCTGGGCCCCTGCCCTTGAACCCCTTACTGACTGAGACAGTACAAACACCGCCACGTAGTTAACGTCCGTTTTATGAAGTAAGTGATCTGACCTTCTGGGATGCCAGAACGTCCCCCTGGAGTCCCGCACCCCCAAGGGAGACGTTCCCGCTCCGCCTCGCGTGGGAGCCTGTCCGCAGGACCGCCCGTGGGGCAGCGGCAGCTGGTCCTGGGGAAGGGCGGCGGGGGGAGCCCGGGGGTGCGGGCACAGGGACCCGGGCGCCCCGCTGGGAGGGGCGGGGGCGGGGCGGGGCAGCACCGCCCCTCACCCGCCAATCCAGGGCGGTGCGGCCCCGTCACGTGCTGTCGCTGCCGTCCAATGGGGGAAGGCGGCGCCCCTCCGTCCCGGATTCAAACTGTCGGTGGGCGCGGCGCGTGCCGCCGCCGGTTTCCGTGGAGACGGCGAGGCCCGGCCGCGTCCATGGAGCCGAGGCTCGTCGGCCCTGGGCCCTACCGCGCTACCCGGCTGGTGAGTACCCGCCGGGATTAGGTGCCCCATCCCCGCCTCTGTCTCTGGTGTAGCCGCACCTCCTCCGGGTGGGGCCTCCGTGCGCGATGGCGACTTCTCTTGAGCCTCCTGTGTCCCGGCCGGCTGCCCCGAGACAGCGTGGCCTCCTGGGCCTGCCCCGCTGGCCGTGTCTCTGCGGCCTAAGGGCCGAGCGCCGCCGGCCCGAGAAGGCCCTGAGCCTGACCCTGGCCATCCGGGAGCCGGCGGGTTGGTGCTCCCCACGCTGCGCGTGTGCGGGGCGGCTGGACCCGTGTGCCCCGCGTGACTGGAGCGGCGGCAGAGCCCGGCGGGATGGAGCTTTAGTCCAGCCTTTCGTCAAGTTAAAAGCCCAGGGGAGGTAAAAGCTGTATCCGTAGAGCCCTATGTAGCACGGGGCTCTTGATATTTCAGCTTCCTAAATCTGGTGTTTGTTCTCAGATCTCAACTGTTTAAATCATAGTTCTAGCTTTCAGTGCGCTCATAAACGCAGATGATCAAAAAAGTATATAGTTCTGCCTTCAGATCTGACTGCATTCTGATCTCACTTTGTATAACTAAAATGCTGGCGGAAGAAGAGCTCCCGTTAACGGTTTGCTTTGTTCTGCTTTCCTAGTGGAATGAGATAATAGAACTTTTTCGTGCTGGGATGCCGTTAAGGAAGCATCGGTGTCGCTTCAAAAGCTATGAGCATTGCTTCAAAGCCTCGGAGGCAGTGGACTGTTTACATGACCTGCTTGGCTCCAATCAAAACTTTGGCCCAGAAGTGACTCGCAATCAAACAGTTAAGCTGCTTAAAAAATTCCTGAAAAATCACGTTATTGAAGATATTAAGGGAAGATGGGGCAAAGAGGACTTTCAAGATGATGGCCATTTATACAGGTAAACCTATATATGGTGACTGAAAAATTTGAGGTTTTGGACACAGGGAGTAGTAACTCTTGTGCATTGGTTTTACAAATATTTTTGTAGAATGCTTTTTGAAAAGGGGTTAATGTGTCTCCTCCCCCTTCCTTTTAAAGACTTTATTTTCTTTAGCGATAGGCAGTTGTCATGATTTAATAATTGGCTTGTTTGGGGGGGAAGGGTTTTGCTCGTTTGTTTTTTTTGAAGGGCACTTTTACTCAATTATTTTCTATGAATAATCACAAAAGCTTTTGCAGCTTTAACAAGGTAGCAAGTTCTGTTTGCTGTTGGTAGACATTAGATTTGTCAGTGTTGGAGGAGTGTATGCCAAGATATGGATGGAAGTGAGGATGCCATTGACCATCTGACTCCAGTTGTCCTCTCTCTCAACCAAGCCCCTGACTAGTTAGGATGCTGTTTCTACTTTTGAAAGAAGAGAAAGACCTTCTGAATTTAAAAGTCATTCATGATATAGTCTTTTTCTATACTCGTTGGTTTCTAGATTGAAGTTGTCTTAAAAGAGACAAGGTTTGATTTGCTCATCCTCAAAGATGCTTGTTTACTTACTTATCTCTATTTAGTCCCTCAACTGATAGCTTGTGAACAGAGGAAAAGAAGTTGCTTTGTAATGAAAGCTTAGCATTACTGGAGCGGGTTCTTTGACCTCTCGTGACCTCAGTAAAGGTTTGGGTGTGCAGAAATTGCAGGTTCTGAATTTGTACCATCTTGTGTCACGCTCAATGCAAAGGTAGTGTGAAAATGACCGTTAAGTATGGATTTGTAACTTAGATCATGACAAGTCTTTTGAGGAAATGGGAGCTATCTTCACGAATAGCAATAGGGAAAATAGGTCAGCAATAATGCTGCATTTCTACTTATTGTAACTATTGTTTTGTACATAAAGACATTTTATGTATTAGTTTTTTGGTAATGAATTCTTAATATTGTTTTTGGGAAAAGTATGTTATACTGAATTTCCACTAGATGTAGATGGAATAAATTTTTCATTTTACTCTGTGATCTTAACTAGTTTGTGGAGTGTGCCTAAGCATTTTTGCTGTGTAGTCTGTACACCTATGCAGTAAGTAAAGTTCTTCATTACTCTCATAATTTTATTTATTAACTTTGAATACTTTAAAAGTAAGAGCTATGTATAATTAATTATTTTACTTTGCCATAAACAAACTTATGTCAAGACATGTTCTTATAAAAGAACCATAGTTCATGTTAAATTTGTTCCACTATAGTTCAGTTGATTTACAGTCAGATTGGATCAGATTTATGTTTAATTCCATTAATAAATTAGTACCAATTCAACTTCTTATTTACGATACTGCATGACATCTTCCAGTAAAAAGTGGTAGCTGGGTTTTAGTCTGCCTTCTGAAGTAAACAATACTGAATGCCACAGCTTCCTTGTCAAATAGTTTAAATATTCAAGCCAATTTCCATCAACTTTAATGGAAGACACTTTAAATAATTTTGGGAAAATAAAAAAATTAATGTTTTATCCCAATCTAGCTCTGTAAAGAGAAATTCCATGTAACAATCAAAGAAAATCTTAAATTTTAGAATTTGGTGCTCAAATTCAAAGGACCCAGTGTATCAAAGGACTTGTATCCGAATATATTTTAAGCTCACCCAAGAAAGTCTGTTGCTAAGTATCTCAGAACACTATATGGTTCTGCGGTCTGTGAGCTGAACATGACTGAAGGCTGGGAAGGGATGCTGAGGAAGTATCATGTATGCTTGTCCTGTTCTTAAATAATTCTCTGGCCATCTGTTTATGACTGCTATAGAAGGGCAAGATACTATGATAGTTTACATAGTCATAGATTAGTTAAGGTTGGAAAACAGTCATGGAAGACAAGAAGAGCTGCAGAGGATCTTAACGTCTTGACCTTGTCCTGGAGAAGGTTAAATGCAAAGGAGTGGGGTGGAGTGGGATTTTTACTTGTTCAAAAAGAGTTGGAAAAGCAGGTAGATGCTGGTACAGCACATGATGGTATGTGTGTTATTGGTTTGGTATGTTCCTAGCCCAGTCCTGCTGTCTATTCTTAGGATAGTACTATCTACCTGCACAGTTTTCTCACTGGTGCAATAGATGTTAAGTATTTTGTCTCCATTCTTTTTGGGCATCGACTCTTTGTCAAAAGATTAAATATGTTTTTTTGGTAACTGCTGGTATTATGCTATATCTCTTTGGTTTGTATTTGTGTCATTGTGGGTTTTTTGTTTATTTGTTTTGCATTGGCATCATGACACATTCAAATTATTTTGTTATTTTCTCCTTTGTATTTTCAGCCATGACTTTCCTGAGCTGCAGGCTGTGGAAGTTGGTTGAGTGAAATATTTCTGTGCTTTTCATCTCCTTTGTGCTTTCCCTAATGAGCTGCTATTGGACAAGAGCTTTTTTGTTATAGTTATCTTGATGTTCTTTCTCCACCTTCCATTCCAAAGATAACTATGTTACTAAATGAACCTTTTTTTTTTTTTTTTTTTTTTTAACTAAAACTACATACCTTTCATTCATTTTGAATTGAAACCAGCTTTTTCTTATTGGGCTTAGTGCATAAATAAACTGTGTATGCTGCTCACGGTGTTTGTGTTTGGCTGTAAGTATTAAAACACGTTCTTCTATTTAAGGAGCTAAACACCAGTTTTCCAGCTCACCTTTATCCATGTATTTAATGTCCTGGCAGCTCCCTCTGGTGGGCTTTCCTAATATTAGGTTGCAAATACATTTCTCACCATGTTGATACAGGTAGCAGTACAAATCGCTTTTAATTCCACTGACAGTGCTTACTCTGGAAGCCTTGATATGCTTCATACTTTTTCTATAAATTCCTGTGTTAATATACTGTAACTGTACACTATGGTGCATAGTTGTGTCTTTCATTAACTGCATGTAAGTGTAGTTGTTCAGTCCACAGAGTATGCAAAAGAGATGTTGCCAAATGTTGATTTTCCTGAGAGTATTAGGCAAGTATTAAATGTGAAGGTGAGAACTAGTGTGGCTTCTAAAAATAGCAAAGACTGTCTGTATGTCCTGACTTACTGACTCAGTGTAGTCTACAATAATAAATGAGAAGTTACAGTTTTAGAAGCTGTCAGGCTTTGCATTTTTTGGAATCTAAGCAATTGTATTAAAAGCAAAAAGGTTATTATTCTATCACTGCTAGTAAACTAATGAGAAATCAGCTGTGGTACTTGTTATACCACTGATACCAATGTTAGCTGACCTTGTTCTCTATCCATTTCCCTGGACACAAACAGGTATTTCTATTTCCTCCTTGTATAGCCTACTAAAACTAGTGTTGCCAGCTGTACATCATGCTAATCTTGAGCATTCCAGAGTTGACATGTCCTCAGTTGCTGGCTTTAGGTACCATTATTCTGTTCATCATAAAATCAGATGCTTTTCATTGTTCATCCACAAACTTGACTCTATCTAGATCTTAATGTAATTCTATCTGATAAGGGACAATACACCTCCTTTTTCTGCTAGTAAGAACTCATTCATTTATTGTTTATTTGAGAATCAATTCAGCAAATTATGTAAAGCTAAAAATTGTGAAGAACTAGATGGGACATAGGGAACTATTGAGAATACTGTAAGGCAAAGAAAAAAAGGCTGCAGATGTTTTAACATTAAACTCTTAAGAAATAGCAAATAGCTGAAATATAGTTGAGAACACTCAACAGTTGAACATCTGCAATGGTTTACTCTTAAGAGACAAAGTAAGTCTTGCAGGACTAGTGCAAGGTGCTTATTACTTCTCAAGGTTTGTCCAAATAAAGTGATGTCTCCTTGTGTTGCAGATACTCTGTTGAAGAGCATTGTGGAATATGCCAAATGGGCTCAGTGTGCCCAGTCAAAACCATAATATGTTTAACCCATGCAGTATAATACTACTGGACTAACAAAATTGCAATACAAAACTAATGTAAAACCTAATTAAATGTTGGAACTGCCTTGAAGGATGGGGTGAAATTTTAGAGAAAATTTGAGGATTTCTTGAGCATGAGAATCTTTCTGGTAGGAGATAAATGCATGCTGTCCAGTGGTATACAAAGCTCCTGTTACATGGTCACAGATTTAACTGTCTTTTATGTACGGATTAAAAGAGTGAATGAGGCTGAAGCAATTTCTTGAAATGCCAGGAATCTCAGCATCTAAAACCTATGAATGCAGGTAAACATGATCTTATCTGGGCTAGTCTGATGGTTTGTTACCATCAAACTGATTTGTCTTTCTGATGTGCTGCCGTTAATTCCTTTGTACATGCTCTTATCTAGGTTTGGCAGTAGTTTAATTCTGGTCAAGCTGGAGATGTGACTGAGCTGAATGTGCTCTGGGATAGTTTGTTTTCTGCAAGGGCTAGTTAAGGGTTTATTTCTGCCAATTTCTTCAAGGCACTTCTTGAAAAGCCTTTAAAAAGTGGGTTACCTGCACAGCCAACTGGAGAAAGCCTCCAGAAAATAACAGCAGGTTATGATCTTCATATAAAAAGCATAGACACAGAAGAACATAGTAATGTGGACAAAACTTTGTGTGAACACTTGCATGCACACTAATTAAATCCACACATTAATCATGTGACCTAGTTATGTAGTTTTGCATTAGGAGATGCATGCTAGCAGCACACTTGACATGGGGAAAACCTACCCACAGCTTTTTTAGAAGAATCAATATCTTCTAGTGAAGACCTGAGTCAGTTGTCTATGCATAGGTAGCTGGTGATATTTGAGATGCACTGGGATATCAGACACTTACCCAAGGCTCAGCTGTGTTATGGGAGGTAGAGAGAACCTGAACTGTTCTGGAGCAGCAAATAGAGGCCAAACAAGACATATTAGGATGTTTTACGTGTCACTCAGCACTAGTCTTCATGACTAGTCTTCATGCAACTTAATCACACTGTGAATGTCCAAGGTATTTTTTGTATTTTTACTTGTGAAGGCCTATTACAGTTTTGCATTCGTAAATATGGAATAGGTTGGAGTTCAGAGGCATTAAAAATATTCTCTAATTTCAGATTTCCTCCTTCCTCACCACTGAAGTCCTATCCAAAGAAATCTTCATGTGGAAAAGAAGTAATTAAATTTCCAGACTGGAATGAACCAAAAGCTGGCACTTCCCAAGAACACATCCCAGTGAAATCAGTCACAATGGTAAGATACCCTATTTTAATTTCCCCAAACATAAGCATAATTGGAAAGCAAAACTGAACTAATGGTCTCTTTGTTGTGGCACAAAATACTTGGTTATTAAATGCAAAATACTTTTATTTTAAACTTATGCAAAGTAAAGTTGTTCTTAATGATTTGCTGGGGGATACTGACTTTGAGTGCACTTTCTGCTACAGATGATGATGTCCTGAGCATCCTAAACTCAGCATGGCTATATTTACTGGTATGCCTGCATTCGGGTTTGCTCAAATTCCAGTCAGTCATTTATTATACAGGACAAGTTAGTTACTTTACTGTCACATACACTGTAACTCTTATTCAGACGCTTCATGTAGCAGAATATATACAATGTTACTCCTTTCCTAGCTGCTCTGAGGTTGTTAGTGATTCAATTTCCTTTTAAATAAGGATCATGTTGTGTCTAAAGAGAAGTGGTCCCGGTTTCATTGTTACCCTTTGTGAGTTTGGATAATCCCCCTGCCCCATACTTACCTGGATTGATCCAGTTTTTGTAAAGTTGTTGGGAAAAAAAAAATGTTGTTTTTATTAGTAAACCAAAATTGTATCAACCCTTTGCTATCTGCACATCTTAGAAGCCTGGGCTTCTGAAATGTACATTCTAAACCCTTCCTCCAGTGCATCTTGTATGTGGGTGTTCTCATAATTTGTGACCTCTTTGATAATTTTTGCCTTTTTATTGATGCTCATCAGTGCAGAACACTAGCTTGGATTTCTTGATGATCAATAATCTGTTTGGAAAAGCAGCTCCTACCATTTTCCTGGACATTTAGAGGTCCTGAATGAATGATTATTCCATATTTGTAATCCTATTACTTACATGCAGATTGCATGTACCTTTCAGGCTTCTGAAAGGGAAAAAGCATGGTCCTTAGAACTTCAATAGCATGTAGAAGACTGAGGGAATAAACAAAACATAGTGCCAAAGGCAAATAAAGAGAATAGACTATTTTAGTTACTGAACAAGTATCTGCTGCAGTTTTAACATGTTACAGCCTCCAACTGTCTGCTCTCTGTTCTCATCCAAGCATCCTGGCCTGATAAAAAGTTAGCAAAAGACCGCTTATATACATATGGCTTAGATTTGACAGCATACAGCCTGGAATAACTCAAAATCTCTTTAATTGGCAGTTTTGGTTAACACAGTGGATTGTAAAGTGAAGTAGCTGAGGCAAAGAAATAAGCTTCTTTCTGCTGACTCCTTTATAGAAAGGAGTAGCTTCAACTGGAATGGTGAAATAGGTAGTTGAGAATGGGGGCACCTTAAATTCTTTCAGCATCAATCAGAGCACTTCTTGGCTGTGTGTGGATTGATGGGCATGGCTCTGTGTACTGAAATACTGATGTGGAAGACCATCTACTCATTTCATAGGGTGCTATTTGTTTCAAACTAGCTCTAGTCTAGTGTCATGGAACGATAGACAATTAGTGCTTGGAGTAATTAAGTACATTCCTGGAGTGCAATTTGTGATTTGGTTGTGAATACTGTTAAAGTGCTTTAGGACTGCTCTGTGATGTAAATCAAAGAACTGGGAATGATCAGGAGTTTTATCTTGGAAGGTATGCTGCTGACACAAACTGTATGTCCACCCATCAAATGCTGATGATAATCTTCAAGCATCAAGCTTGGATGTGAAGGTTGAGTAGAGGATAGTAGTCTTGCATTCTCTGCTTTACTTTATTCTGTTATAGTGGTGGACTAGATGTGATGGGTGTCTTCAGCTGTTAGCTATTTGCATTTGCTTTCTTCATGTATAGAATCTGCTAATTAACTTAATGTTTAGTTATGATCAGTGTATGCTGAACAAGGATGAGTATCAGTCTTTCATATCTCGTCTAATAATTATCCAATAAGTTTTCCATAGGCAGATGCTTAATCTTAGAGTGGTAGTTGAAAACAAGTGAGTTGAACCGATTTTAATTGTGGAGAGGACCTGAACAGAGAACTAGAGGCCATTGACTCTTTAACTTTAATGGCTCCTCTGACACATGTAATTTTTCAGCTTTGGGCAGGTTACGTAACTGAGAAAAGATGCCGCACGTCTGTGAAACCTAAGCAATCACTTGCATCCTGGAGACTTTACTGGAATTTAAGAATATTTAAAATGCTTGCAATAAGGAGCATGATGTACTGTAAATGTATTCTACTGTTTAATATTTGCAAAGTCACCAGTTAATGAGGAGTGTCTTTTCTGATTTCAGAACTCTGAGATGTGGTACAAGCGACACAGTATAGCTATAGGAGAAGTACCGGCATGCAAACTTGTGTTCCGCAGAGAGCTAACACAAAGAAATATAGAAGAGATATGGAAATCCATGACTTTGTCACGGTGAGTATACTTGTGAGTCATTTGCCATTATTGTAAAATTGTGTAGTAGGTAAAAGTTTTGTCTGTCTTCTATGTTAATGCTTGCAATTTCACCCACTCACTTGTAAACACTGCTATCAAAGCCATAGTGGCTAGACTAACTGTATGACTTGTTATTTGGCTAACAAATTCTGCAAACAAAGTTTGCAAAGAAATTTTACTGTGCTTAATACCTTTTGACTTTTTTGTGTTGTGTTATACAGGTCCTTTTGTTTTGTGGGCTTTGATTTGTTTAATCACTTTTCTCATTCTCTTTTTTTCTTGTTGCTATGGTTATGGATGGGAGTCATGCACTTCACTTGTAAGAGAGAAGCAACGATATACTTTATTGATATAAAGTAGTCAGTTAAGTTAAATGGTAAAAGCAACAGTGGTTTAATGAGATTGAATGGCAAGGTACACTAGATTATTTACAGCATAGAGGACAGGGTTAGACAAAACTGTCACAGAGACCCTCCCATTGAGTCAGGAGGTTCAGAAAGGACCTCCTTGCCTCTTAAACTCCTCCTCAGAGAAGAGTCTAGGTGGAGCTGGGTCCACTCCTCATTCCAGACTCGGTCAATGGTTTATGCTTAAAGAATTATATATGCACAATTGATCCTCTATATCTCTTAGTTAGAATTGCAAAGTTTAGCATGCTACTAATCATTTACACACAATCTGTTGCAACAAGGATGCTTAACCTCAAGGAATAACCTTGAGAGGTATCCCTGATCAAGGGGAGATCCTGGCCTGCAGCCCACTGCTGTGCAGGAGAGCTCAATGGGCCCTGGCCTGTCCACTACTTATGGATTAAAGCAACTGACATATTTGCATACCAGAAAGACATCTGGCTCACAGTTCCAGACAGCTGTTGGCTACCATGTTGACATCCATCACCCAAAGTCCTGATGCAGCCATCACAACCCCCACTGGTGATTATAGCTTAAGCAGGGGCAGGGAGGGGAGCATACCACAACAGCTATGAAATAGAAGCACTTCTGTAGAAGTGAGATACCATGAAACCTTTAAATGACAATTACAGTGCTTCATATGAGATGTGAAATGGAGTAGCTAATTGAATGATGAAAGCTTTGAGATTCAGATTTCTTCACTATTTCCAAAAGGAATATTGTATGCAAATTTAAAGGTATTGCTTTAGACTATGCAGGAGAAAAAAGTAATATACATTAGATATTTTTACAGCACAATTGAGGTATTATTAATCATCACAGAACCATAGAATTGTTTGGGTTTGAAGGGGCCTTAAAGACCATCTGGTTCCAACCCCCCTGCCATGGGCAGGGACACCTTCCACCAGACCAGGGTGCTCAAAGTACCATCCAGCCTGGCCTTGAACTCTTCCAGGGAGGGGGCAGCCACAGCTTCTCTGGGCAACCTGTGCCAGGGCCTCACCACACTCACAGGGAAGAATTTCTTCCTAATAGCTAATCTGAATCTATCCTCTTTCAGTTTAAAACCATTACCCCTCATCCTATTATTGCACCCTCTGATAGAGTCCCTCCCCATCTTTCCTGTAGCCCCTTTTAAGTACTGTGAGACTGCTATAAGGTCTCCCCAGAGCCTTCTCTTCTCCAGGCTGAAAAACCCCAACTCTCTCAGCCTGTCCTCATGGGGGGAGATACTCTAGGCCCCGATCATCATCTTGGCCTCCTCCAGACCTGCTAGAGCAGGTCTGTGTCCTTCTCATGTTGGGGACTGCAGAGCTGGACACAATACTCTAGGTGGAGTCTCACAAGAGGGGAGTAGAGGGAGAGAACCACTGCCCTCAACCTGCTGGTCATGCTTCTCTTGATGCGGCCCAGGACATGGTTGGCTGTCTGGGCTGTGAGCACACGTTGCTGGCTCATAGTCAGTTTTTTATCCACTATTGTTTCCAAGTCCTTCTCCGTGGGGTTGCTCTCAATCCACTCATCGCCTAAGCCTGTGCTTGGGCCTGCCTTGACCTATGTGATGGACTTTGCACTTGGCCTCGTTGAACTTCACGGGGTTTTTATGGGCCCACCTCTCCAGCCCATCAAGGTCCCTCTGGATGACATCCCTTCCCTCCAGCATGTCAACGGCACTACGCAGATTGCTGTCATCTGCAAACTTGATGAGGGTGCACTCGATCCCACTGTCCATGTCGCTGACAAACAATGCTGGTCCCAACAGTGACCCCTGAGGAGTGCCACTCATCACTGCTCTCCACTTGGACATTGAGCTGTTGACTACAACTCTTTGAGCATGACCATCCAGCCAATTTCTTATCCACCAAGTGGTCCATCCATGAAATCCACGTCCTTCCAATTTAGAGACAAGGTTGTCATGTTGGGACAGTGTCAGGTGCTTTGCACAAGTCCAGGTAGATGATGTCAGTTGCACCTCCCTTATCCACCAATGCTGTAACCCCACTGTAGAAGGCCATCGGATTTGTCAGGTACAATTTGTCCTTAGTGAAGCATGTTGGCTGTCACCAATCACCTCCTTATCTTCCATGTGCCCTAGCATCACTTCCAGAAGGACCCACTGCATGATCTTGCTGGGCACAGGTGAGACTGACTGGCCTGTAGTTTCCTGGGTCCTCTTTATTTCACTTTTTAAAAATGGGGTTATATTACTTTCATCTGAACTCAGCATGTTATCTCTGTGTAATAAACTTGATGCTGAGACAAGCAGCTCTAGTGCTGGCACAATCCACAGTGGAGTGATCTAGTGTGGTCCACAGCAGGGTTTCCTCAACCAGGGAAACCTCAGGGGAGCCAAGAGACCTGCTGGGGGAACCTGCAGATCACACAGTGGCTGCTGTGACCTGGGTGGGGCCAGGAACAATGGGGCCAAGCCCCCTCCCATATAAAAGAAGCCCCTAAGGAGCACTGGAGACCAGGGCAGGCAAACAGGTTGTGGTATGGCAGTTTGCATAGAGGTGTGCTTAGGGAGGGCACTGTACGTCTGACATATCAACCAGGGAGCAGTGGTATGCACCCTGCAAAAAGACATGTCCTTTCTAAACTCTACACCCACCATGACTGATGCAGCTGCCCAGACAAAGCTGCAGTGGAAGCATGCTGCCACCCAGGTGTCAGGGTAGGCCATGCTCTTAGGCCAGTACCTGACAGCAGTGGCGATCACAGCTGTGAGAGGTGCACCCAGGGAGAGGAAATCCTCTGCCTAGTGACAGAGCTCCAGGAGGAGGTGATTAGATTGGAGAGTATCAGGGTGTCTGAAAGAGAGATAGATTACTGGAACCACACCCTATCCTCCCTGGACAGACCTGTCAGGCAAACAGCATGCATGATACAGAGCACTCCCTATCCTGTCTCTATCTGGCTGAACACAGCGACTGAAGGGACAGTAGACAATGGCAACAAGTTCCTGCCTGGCACAGCAGGCGCATCTCCTCCATAACTACCCTGCCTTCCCAGGTGCCCTTGTATAAATAGGTACAAGGCTCTGCAAGTGGAACCAAACAATGATGAGGACAGTGGTTCATCTAGGTCGGAGATATCACCAAGGTTAAATCTGCCTACACCCTGCATCAAAACTACTTCCATAAATAAAAAATGACAGGTCATTGTCATAGGGAACTCTTTTCTGAGGGGAATAGAAGGCACAATATTCAGACCAGACCTACTTCTCAGGGACGTCTGGGCTAAAGATATGAAGAGAAAACTTCCTACCCCAGTACGGCCCTTGGATTATTATCCATTATTGATTAAGGGATCGGGAGCACAAGTAGTGTTCTTCTTTATCCTTCCAGTTGCATGGAAGGATGAGGGAAGAAACAGGAAGACCCAGCAGATCAATATCTGGCTCTGAGACAGGTGTCATTGTGCGGAGCCGCAGACGAACGACACGCCGAGACGGGTTCAATGTGGAAGATAGAGCATCAATCTACATGTGTGTCTTTATTGGTCCAGGGTACATATATTTATACAGACAACGCTAATTATTATGCCTACTAGTCACTAGCTGATTGGCTTAAGCTCTAAAGGTCGTATTCACACGGTCCACCTACTTTCAGTTAGCTTACAGCACAAGCTTCTCATAACACTAAGTTTCTCATGCTACTATTTCTGATTCCTCTTGACTTGTTTTCGATACACGACAGTACCATAACACAATGTTTCTCAGACCACCGTTACCATAACACTAGGTTTCTCAGACCACTATTCCTAATTCTCCTTAACCTGTTTTCGACACACCACGGTACACAGGGCTGAAGCGTCCTTGACATTCTTCATGTATCTGCAGCTGGGAGCAGCTGCAGGCAAACCCTAGTGAGGCCCAGCATCAGCGAGGCAGCATCAGCCCTTAGAACAGGCTCTGATCGTACAATTGCTCGGTGGGCTCAGGACCCTTGTCTCTGAGCCATTCTCCAACATCATTGGAAGAATGTTGGGGTTTTATGATCATGGGTTGGTCTACAGAACACCAGGCCTGCTGGTGACAGATGGGGTACGCATATCTCAAAGGTGCAAAAGGATCTTTGCACAGGAGTTAGCAGGGCTCACTGAAAGAGCTTTAAACTAAATTTGAAGGGGGAAAGGGATGAAACCAGGCTTGCTAGAGATAAGCCTGAGGACAGCGTGCCAGTGTTTGAGGGATGGTGTGCTAGCAGGGTCCTTCAGTCTGTTCCACAATGTGCTGAATACACTAAAGGGCCTTTGAAATTTCTATACTAATGCATGTAGCATGAGGAATAAGCAAGAAAAGCTAGAAGCTTTGGCCCGATCCCAGAGCTATGACATCATTAGCAGAAGTGAAATTTGGTAGGATGAGTCCTGTGACTGGGGTGCCATGATGGATATTTATAAGGTTTTCAGGAGGGATAGGCAGAGCAGGTGAGGTGGTGGAGTGGAACTGTATCTAAGGGAAAAGTTAGATTGTATAGTGTTTACATTTGGCAACAACATGATTGGGAGGCTCTGGGTAAGAATGAAGGGGAAAACAAATAAAATGGATGTTGTGGGAGTCTACTATTGACCACCCAGCCAGGATGATGAAACCGAGTAACTATTCTACAAGAAATTAAGGGATGTCTCTAGATGAAATGCCCTTGTCCTTATTGGTGATTTAAACTTCCCAGACTTTAACTGGGAATATCATACTGCAGATGCAAACAGGTTCAGGAAATCTCTGATGTGCGTTGAAGATTTTTCTTGGTGCAGATACTGTGGGATCCAGCTAGGAAAGGTGCCCTAGATTTTTTGTTTGTAAACAGAGAGGAACTCATAGACGAAGTGGTGATTGGTGGCTGCCTTGGTCACAGTCACCATGAAGTAGTTGAGTTTCAAATCATCATTGATAGGAGAAAAAATGCCAGCAAAACATCAATTCTGGGTACGGGGAGAACAGACTTTGGGCTGCTGAAGGAGCTAGTTAGTAAGGTTCCCTTGGAATCTGCTTTTGAATATATTGGGGTCCATGAAAACTGGTCACTTCTTAAGAACCATCTCTTAAGAGCATAGGAGCAGGCAATTCAAAGTGTTGGAATTCAAGCCAGAGGGGCAGAAGGATGGCTTGGCTGAATAGAGATCTAGCACGGCGGAAAAGGAAAGTGTACAGACCTTGGAAGCAGAGACAGGCAACATGGGAGGACTCCAGAGAGACTGTTCAGCACTGTAGGAAGAACATCTGTGTGGCCAAAGCTCGGTTAGAGTTCAAGCTGGCCAGAACTGTGAAGAACAACAAAAAAGGGCTTTTTAAAATATGTTAATAGCAAAAGGAGAATCTGAGATAAGATTGGTCCATTGCTTGATGAAGTCAGTCACCTCCGAAATAAGAATGTAGACAAAGTGGAGATATCTGATGCCTTCTCTGCATCTGTATTCAACACCAATGATGGGTCCTGGGATGCCGGGAGCTCTGTGTTAGAAGACTGTAACTGAGAGGATGATAAACTCCCAGCTAACCCTGAACTTGTTTGAGACTTGCTGCTCCAGCTAGTTGCGCATAAATCTATGGGGCCTGATGAGATTCGTTGCAGCGTACTGAAAAAACTCTCTCCATTATTTTTCAACAGTCTTGGGAGTCTGGAGAGGTCCCAGCTGACTGGAAGCTGGCAAATATTGTCCCAGTTTTCAAGAAGGGAAAGAAGGAAGACCCTGATAATTACAGGCCTGTCAGTCTTGCTTCAGTGCCTGGTAAAATTATGGAAAAGGTTATTCTGAGTTATTGAAAAACTTGAGAGACAATGTAGTCACTGGTCATAGCCAGCATGGGTTCCCAAGGGGGAAGTCCTGCTTAACCAACTTATTTCATCTATGACAAGTTCACCCATCTGGTTGACCAAGGGAAGCTAATAAATGTGGGGTTTTGGGGTTTTAACAAAGCTCCTAATAGTGTCTTTCACAGTATCCTGTACAAACTGTCCAGTATGCAGCTAGGCAGGTCCATAATACATTGAGTGAGCAATTGGCTGATGGGTTGGGCTCAAAAGGTTGTAGTAAATGGGGTTACTTCAGGCTGTTGACCAGTTACCACTGGAGTTCTCCAGGGGTCAATTTTAGGGCCAGTGCTCTTTAATGTTTTTATAAATGATCTGGATGTAGGAATTGAATGTACACAGGGTAAATTTGCCAATGTTAATATACTGGGAGGAGCTGTGGACTCCCTCAGGAGTACAGAGGCCTTATAGAGAGATCTGGATAGACTAGAGAGCTGCGCAATCACCAACCATATGAAATTTAATAAGAGCAAGCGCCAGATTCTGCTCTTGGGATGGCATAACCCTGGTTAATTCTACAAACTGGGGCATGAGAGGCTGGAGAGCAGCCCTGCAAAAGGAGATCTGGAGGGCTGGGTGGATGGCAAGTTGAATTTGAGTCAACAGTGTGACCTGGCAGACAAAAGGGCCAGCCATGTCCTGGGGTGCATCGAGCACAGCACAGCCAGATGGTCGAGGGAGGTGATTGTCCCACTCCACACTCCAATGGTGTGGCCCCACCTTGAGTACTGTGTGCAGTTTGGGGTGCCTCAGTGTAAGAAGGACATCAAACTGTTAGAGTGTGTCCAGAGGATAGCAACCAAGAGGGTGAAACTTGAGGGCAAGACTTAGGAGGAGCGGCCAAGGTCACTTGGTTTGTTCAGCTTGAAGAAGTCCAAGAGGTGACCTCATCGCAGTCTGCAACTTCTTCAAGGGTGGCAGTGGAGGGGGAGGGGAGTGCCAATCTTCTATCTCTGGTGACCAGCAATGGAACATGAGGAAATGAAATCAAACTATTTCAGGGGAAGTTCATATTGGACATTAGTTTTTCACTGAGAGGGTGCTCAGTCACTGGAACAAGCTCCCCAGGGAAGAGGTCACGGCACTAAGACTGTCAGAGTTCAAGGAACATCTGGACAATGCTCTTCATCATATGGTTGTTCTAGGTAGTCCTGTGAGGAACAGAGAGTTAGACTTAATGATCCTTATGTGTCCCTTCCAACTTAAGATATTCTATGATTCCATGAAATGGAGAAGTCTCTTTTTCAGAATCGTATCTGTCCAAATACTACATGTTTGCCTCTTTCAGATTAGATGATGTATGAGCTATGTATTTATGTATTTTTACAGATTACAAAAGGTCTTGGGTTTGGATTCTCTGGATGAAGTGTTAGACACAAAACTTGTGAATTCAAAGCATATAGTCCAAAATGCATACAATGTCAATAAACAAGGCATTGTCACTTTAGAAGACAAATCAAGTGAGTATTTTAGATGTTTTCATTTAACTTTTTTATAATGTAGTTTATTAGTATATAAAAAAATAATTTCTAATATATACTAACATGTAGCATTTTTATACTTTTATGACCACATCTATACTAGAGTTTTTACAAAGTAAGCCATTGTTATCCTCTGACATCCCAGTGTTTATTCCACATTTACTCTCTTAAACATATTCCTGCTTTCGCAGGGTTAAAAGGTTAAGGTAAAAGAGCAGCAACTTTTCATTTATAAAGATAGGGATGTCATTCACTTCAATCTGGCTTTGTCAGCCCAGTCCTTAACTGCTTGAACTGGAGTGTTTGCATGAAGGAAATGTATATTAAAAATTGGGGAAGAATCAAAATGTACACTGAGAGATGCTTAAGATTTCTCCATTTTGAGTTTTCAGCCAATGTACTTTGAAACTAATACAGAGTTTAAAACTGCTTTGCACATCAGGGACAAAGTAAAACATCTATGTTGCTGTGATATATCACAATATTGTTGTCACCATGTTTTCCACAAGATTTGTAGAGAATTAAAATATGAGATTGGAACCTGGTTTGGTTTGTGAATGAAACCTCCTCCAGAGCATATACATGTTTGTTTTAAAGACAGTTGGAGCACCTCAAGATACTAATTTCCTCCTTGCAGAAATTACAGAACTGAATATATGAGTGCTTTTCATCATCTTCAGTGCAGAGTGAACACTTCATTGTAATGCACTAGTGAGGTGTATTTTGAACTAGTTTGGATGATTTTTTCAGGGCGGGTTAAGGATTTGTGATATGATCCAATTTGCCAATTTAAGTTGTAAAAGCAGTAGGCATAACTGGTTGACAGTGAGTACTGGAGGTAGTAAAGTATAGATGTAATTCAAGCTAGATCCCACATTAAGATATAGACTGCCTTTGCAATCAGTCATTCTACTATATAGGAGGAACTTGAGGAATTTTCAGCTTTGCTTTTATATTAAAGTTTAACAGTTTTCTCAGTTTTTTTCTCCTTTTAATTTTTTATCTGTTTCTCCCACATGCAGAGGAACTACCTCACTGGATATTATCAGCAATGAAGTGTCTAGCAAACTGTAAGTAAATTCAGGAGTGGGGGAAAAAACAACCCCCGTAAAAATCAATTGAACTGACTGTGCCTTTACCTCTTTATCAAATCCTGTTTGAATTCACAGTCAATATTTTTTTCTGATCGTTGCTTTAAGCAAAGTTGGAAAAGATCAGCCAGCATATATTCTCCTTCCAATGCAGCTTATTTCAATGAAACCTAAAGGTTTGACTATTTTATTAATATTTTTCTTCTACTATGTGTCTTCACTAGATGTATTTATTGGAAGTAGATCAATTCAATTTCCTTTATATTTTGAAGAATAAGTCTAAGTTTAGGTTTGTTTTTTTTTTTTTCTAGTTGACATTGCATTTTTATTGGCTGGAATAGAAGATAGTGATCTGGTTGGTGGCTGCAAATCAATTTTCTCTTTTTAATTTTTTTCTTTTTAGGGCCCAGCTGCTCAGATTTGAAGCAGCCTACATACTCAGGATTTGAAAGAGATGTTTTCAAAACTATAGTGGACTACTTTGGCCAGACAAAAGAACCTCTTCTCACATTTCATTTTTTTGATGTTTTTGTTAGTGTGTTAGGTAAGTAGTTTGGGATGCAATGAAAAAATTTCTTTTGAATTAACTTCCTGGAATTAATTTACCATACCCAAATAGTATCACAGCTTATTTGTTTAGGACCTGTCCTGTCCATTCGACATAGAGAACAGTTTCATATTTAAATTTATTTTGTATCATGAGGTGATTTTATTCTTGTGTCTTTTTGATCACTTTAGTTCAAAAGTCTTCCACTGCTTGTCTTTATAATTTTTAAAGGCCTCTGTTCATTGCTTAGCACTGCCACACTTAACGGATGTATTTTAACAGATTTTTCTTTTTTTTTTTTTTTACAAATGCCTAAGCATCTTGAAAACTTGCATAAGCTTTTAGAAATTGCTTGACTGAAGTCTAGATTAAAAAGGATTAGGGCTAAGGACTGTTTTTAACCCTGGCAATATAGAATCTGAAGGAAATGTAAATCCTTCATTGTTTAAACTTAGACTAGACATAAACTAATCCAGTGCTTTAAAGAAACAATAGTTTAGTTATTAACTATAACTTTTTTAGAATTCACACTATATCAAATTCACCTATCCTATAGCTGTAGATGGCCCAATGAAAGACAGTAAATGTGAAAATATTTGATTACATTTTGTGGTTACATTTCAGGAAAGAATAACTGAGTTGAAAAGTAAAGCATGCTTTGTAACATGTCACTTTTCTGAGCTTTAAATGGGAGCAACATTGCTTTTCATAAACTATGTAGATGAAAAAGGAATTCAGAATAACATTTCTGGAATTTAATATTTTTATACATTGTTAATTGACAGTCTTGTTTCCAAATGAATATATCCTTTTATGACTTCTTTTGCTTATACAACAGACCACTATGAAGCTGTAAGTAAATGTAGAGGATATCGCGCACTCCATAGAATACTATTTTGTAATAAGTGTCAATGCTAGTATTGAATGCTGCCTGTGGAGCAGTAAATTGCTTAGCAAGCTGTGCATTTACAAAATATGGAAATTAAGACCCAAGTCTGCAGTTGCATTTCTGTGGGTTTTTTTAATGGAGTATGGCTTGCTAAATTGGCAATCTAAATGTTAAGACATTTATAAACTAGTATTTCAGTCTCTGAGTCTTTGACTTTTCATATTGCTACCCTCAGGCAATTACAACCTTTCCACAGTGATAGGTCTCCCTTCCACCTTCTGTGGATAAGCTTTCTGTTTAGTGGAAGACTTGAGGAAATAACAAAGTCTTATCAGAAGACAATTTTAGTCATTTGAGGCAGCCATGATGTGTTTTGTGCATGTCTAAAAGCTCCATCTTAAAACCTGAGAAATATTTTCAGAAATCATAGGTGGTTTGTGTAACCATATCATGATGCCTCACTTGTTTCTGTTTTCAAATGAAGTCTCTCTGGAGCACTTATCTTCCAAGGGGTTGGTTGAAATTAGTTTTCAGAATAGTTAAGAAAATAGAGTGAAGGTGTCAGTCATCATCAGATATTTTACTAACTCAGTCAGATTAAACTTGCTCTTTGCACAGGTTAAAATAATTCTTATGTACAAAGTTCATTAAGGTTAATTATTATTTCCCAGGGCCTCTTCAGAACATATGCAATAGTGTGCTTGTCAAATCTTCCCACAAAATTAAAGATAGATTTGCTTTGAAAATGAAATTAACTACACTACTTTACCACTCTTTGCTTGAGCTACTGTCTGTTTTGGCTGTCCTACTTACTACTGCACAATTCTGTTCTTTTAATAACAAACAGCTTCTACTTTTTACACAGTATAGAACTGACTGGCATGGTGGATGAGTCAACAGCAGTGGATGCTGTTTATGTTGACTGTAGTAAAGCTTTCAACACTTGTCTCCCATCACACCCTTATAGGCAAACTGAGGAAGTTCAGGCTAGATAGGTGGGTAGTGAGGTAGACCAGAAATCATCTGAATTGCTGGTCTCAGAGAGTTATGATCAGTGGAACAAAGTGCAGCTGGGGGTCAATCAGTAGGGACCCCCTACTGGGGGGTAATGGGGCCAGTAGTGGTTAACACTTCATTAATGACCTGGATAGTGGAACACGGTCCTAAACAAGGACAAGCATGCAACTAATACAAAATGTGGAAGAGTGGTTAATGAGGTAGAGGATTTTACTGCAATGCAGAGGGACCTTGACAGGCTGGAGAAACGGGCAAACAGGAATCTCATAATGTTCAACAAAGGGAAATGCCAAGCCCTCTCCTGGGGAGGAATAACCCCATGCACCAGTTCATGCTAGGGGGTGACTGACTTGAAAGCAGTTTTACTGAGAAGGATTTTACAGTCCTGGTGGGCACTAATGTGTCCGTGAGCCAGCAGTGGGTCCTTGTGGCAAGTGTGTGCTTGTGTCCAATGTGTGCTTGTGACCAGCAACATTCTTAGCTCCACTAAGAGCATTGCCAGCGGGCTGAGGGAGACCTTTCCTCAGCACTGGTCACTGAGTCCAGTGGAGGGCCACAAAAATTATTTAGGGCTTGGAGCATCTGTCATATGGGGAGAAGCTGAGAGCAGGGACTGTTTAGCCTGGAGAGGAGAAGGCTCAGTATGGATCTTATTAATGTGTATAAAAGACTGATGTAGGAGAAGGAAAGAAGAGAGAGACAGACTTCTATCAGTGATATCCAGTAACAGGACAAGAGGTAATGGGCACAAGCAGAAATTCAGGAAACTTCATTTATACATAGGAAAATAGATTTTTTAATTGTAAGATGGTCAAACACTGGAAGAGGTTGTCCAGACAGGCTGTGGAATCTCCCACTTTGGAGGTATTAAAAACCTGACTGGACATAGTCCTGGGCAGCTTGCTGTAGATGACCAGGCTTTGAGAGGGGGAGAGGTCTAGATAATCTCAAGAGATACCTTCTAACCTATGGAAATTCTATGAAAAAAAAAAAAAAAAAAGTGTATCTCTGTCATCTTCCTTGTTCCCTTTTTAAGAAAAATTACTGTTAGACTTCAGTCACGCAGGTATTTTGCTTCTGACTTCTGTCTTGTTCTGATGGTGCTATTTATGCAAATATGTAGTAGATGCTTCCTTCACTGAACCTTAGAAACCTAAAAGAGGATGACATTTTGGTGGTGAGACCTCTTTACAGGTACCTAAACTACTATCAGATTTTACTATGCCTGTCCACTCTTCAAATATCTCTGCCATGCTCACATTCTGTGTTTTCTCAAGAGTTTGTAAGTAGAATTAGTTGTAGATTTATCTTCTAAAGGAGTGAGGAACATGTCAGTATTGTCATAACTGTCATTGGTACATAAGAACATGTTTTGTTTATATTCTCTGATTTTTGCATAGACTTTTGTATGGAGTTGCTACAACTGTGCATACACCTCAGTTGTGTTTAGAGCTGAGGGTTATCGAAGAGCAAAGGATAAAATAAAAGATTGTAGTTTTTCACGTTTACTAGTATCTAGAGTTGTTGGTTGTGGTTATCAACACCTCCCAATGCATCAGAAGGAAATCCTGTAAATATTTAACAAGTAGTCCAGTGCTAGGGATATCTTCCCAGACTCTTTGGAGAGTAGAGTTCTAAGGCAGTCTTGAATGAGTAGGAGAGGAATTTGGGGAGACACATGTAGAAATGTTATGTTAAATGTTATGGAAATATATAATTGAGAAGTGTTGCCCAAACTCTTGATCTCGTGTAAACCAGGTCTGACGCAAAAACACAGCAAGGCCGTAGAAGCTCTTCAGATATCTTGTCTCCTGCTGCCACCAGAAAATCGGAAAAGACTGCAGCTGTTGGTGAGGATGATGGCAAGAATTAGCTTTAACAAGGATTTGCCGCCTCTTTCTGAATCAGTGAGGACCAGAACCTTGGTATGTATGGTGCAAGGCAAAAGGTCTAGATGAGGCTTTCGGGGTAGCACGGATGAAAGATTCTTACTGGAGAATGCATACAAAATACAGTTTGCTTGTTTGAAGAACAGTTCATCTATTCTAGCTATGTGGAAAGCTACTCTGAATTTGACTAAATCATGATTTCTTGGTAAGTTGTGAGCAAAAGAAATATTTGCTCAGAATTTGGAGGTTTTCTTATCTTTCGAAGTTAAATCACCACTGATTTCACTATGGAGTAGAAAAAAAAAAGCATAGTAGATAAGGTATCTGATGTTCTTTATCATTGCAGACTTCCTGTTTCAATCATAGTTAGAAATATATAACTGAATGCTTTGATTTGCCTGGTTTTGTTTTTTTTTTTGTTTTTTTTTTTTTTTAAATCCTACCCATTTATTTCAGTAGTAATTTTTTTTAACCACTTAACTACAGAAATCTCTGAAAATAATTTTAATCAGATTTTCACAAAGCCCTGGTTTTTGCTAATGCTCTTTCTGTAGGTTTACTTGTAGAGTTGTTGCTGATGTTTCCAACAGCATGTTATTACAAAGTTATTAGGCACAACTTGTCAATTCTGACTGGCTAAGAACATGTATTTCTTTTGGTTAATTTTCAAGTCTTTTTCAAGAAAGATGACAGAAAACTCAGCTGTAGAGCCACTTCATAAAAATCCTATAGTGGCATGCATAAATCTAAATTTGTTCCCTAGCAATTAAGTTTTTAATTACTTATGAATAGTATTTGGTTGATTAAAATTTTTAATGCTAAGGTTATAATTTAATTAATTGTAAATGTTTTTTGATTAAAATAATTATGTTATAATCTAAATGTTATTTTTAGAAGTGAATCCTTTACAGTCCAAGTGTTTTGTACTGTTAATTCAGCAGTGTAGTCTGTGGTACATGATAGAAAACCTTGATTGCCTTCTGTGCTTTTAATGTTAGAAATGACTGGTGAACACAGACAGAAAACTTGTGTAACTGAATGCTTGAGCATGAGACTATATGAAGTGAGCTGGATCTGAAATTTGCTTTCATAATTTCAAAATAGTGGTAGTAAGTCTTTCCATTGGTGCTTACTTTTTCTATGAAATTCCTGTGTTATTTTCTAAATCTCTGAAATATTTGTGCCCTGTTTAACTTGAAAAGCCATGTGAAGTGGCTATTGGACAAAGTTTTCAAAATAAAATAGAATTCGTCCACTCTAAGTCTAAAATCAGGGTTAGATTATGTATATGAGGCAAGAGCCATCTTCAGTCCACTCAGTTAATTTTACTGTACACAACTCTTTTATTTTGTTTTATTTTGCATTGATGTGTATTGTGAAGTATGCTAACCGTTGTGCTATTATTTTTTTTTCCTAAAAGATCACTTTTAAAATAGAATCTGATTCTTCATCCCCCATACCCAAACAGAAAAATATACAATAATGATCCTTTTTTTTCTCAGATGATTCAGGCATTTTCCCGTTGTATTCTCTGCTCAAAGGATGAAGTGGACTTGGATGAACTGCTTGCTGCTAAACTAGTATCTTTCCTCATGGACAATTATCAAGAGATCTTAAGTGTTCCTTCTGCCTTAAAATCTTCTATAGAGGAACATGTTGTACATCTTCAGAGAGTCCAAGTAGGTATCTAGTGAAAAAACCCTCTTAAGTCTCTGTGCTTCTAGATCAAATTTATCCTTTCTGCTCTGAAGTTCGCCAGTTCTTAAAGACTTCCTTCACTCTCTGCTAGCTTATGAAGAGCTAATTAATTTTGACTGTTGATATTAAACCATAACTGTGTATCTAAATGAAACTAAGCAGATCTTGAATGGTTTAGAGACAAGAACTCTAAAACATGTTTTCCTGTTGGTCAGCACTATCTTCTCCATGGAATGGACAAACTATGTTCGTTGTAGTGAGGAAAACTGTGACTGGTTAAAAAGTGTTTCCATGAATGTTCTGATTTTATTTTAGAGCCATCCATATTGCTCAGCTTTTTCATAACTCTCTTTTGTTTCCTGATGTTGTATTTTGGTTTTGTTCAAAACTGCTTTTTAGTTTTTCCTTCTCTAATTTTTACTGAAAATGTAACTTTTAACTTATTCCAAGAGTTAAACAGGCTTCCTTTGTGTCATGTTGTTTGATTTACTAGAACTCAATTAGTGCAGGAGATAGGAGGTACAATTTAGGGTCTTTATTCCATATCTTTTCTACTTAATGACTTCAGGTGGTCAATTTGATTACTTCAGTTTTTGCAAATTTATTGCAGAAAACATAGCTGTTCTTTTTTTACTCTTTCTTCAGATAAAATACACTGGAGCTGATACTGATGCAACTTTTCCTTCTCAACCATTTTGTCAGCAAATCAGTACAGATGAATATGAGTACCAAAGAGTAACTGGCTCTCAAGAACCACTGGCTGCTTTACTGGAAGAAATTGCAATGAATAAAGAAATCTCTGTGAAAGATAAGAAGAAGAAGCTCAAGCAAGTAAATAAACATTCCTCCAGAATCTTTAATTTTAACTTAAAAGACTTTATCAAGTCTTAGACACGTAGAGATATAAGATAGTAGGTACTCTTGGGGATTTCAAACTTTTTAATCATTTGGAATAGAGGTACTGTGATGAATCAAGCCATATGAGAAAATACCACCTTATTTTCTATATAGAGATATATAAAGTCCATTAGAGAAATAATAATTTTCTTGCCACAGAGGTGAAGGTTGCACTTTAATAGTTTTTAATATTACAAGTTTGAGATAATTCTTCATTTAAATGAATGTATTTTTCTAGTTTCAGAAATCTTACCCTGAAGTGTATAGAGTACGCTTTCCTACCCCTGAAACTGAAGCGCTGCTATTTCCAGAAAAAACTAAACAGAAACCACCAATACTGATGTGGGCCTTAAAAAAGCCTTTTCAACCATTTCACAGAACCAGAAGCTTTCGGATGTAAATTGTCTGAAATATATCAGCGGACAGAGTCAGAGCATATTTTCAATGGATCTTATGCAAGAGGAACCTGAGCAGCATGTAGTTAATCAAAAAACTACTGGAGATACTGGTGAGATGATATAAAAGGTCAAAAGAAGAGGAAAGTATTGAGGTGGTAGAAATGTGAGCCATTATCAGTATTTTTGTAAATAATTACTTTTTAAAATGTTTGTTATTTTTATAAAAATAAAACAAAACAAAAACCAAACCCCAGCAAACTCAAGGTGATTAATCTACATGGGTGATAAAGTACACTTGCTGTAGTTTGATTTGACCATTATTTCAAGGTCTAAATGTATTTGTTTGTAATGTATTGTTGGTAATTAGTCAATAGCTTTTTTTTTTTTTTTTTCCTGAAACTGAGTCTCTTGCATAAGATGGGCTGTGTTCTTTCACACATAGCTTGAGGAATTAATTTGTTGTACCTACTTGAATAAGTATGAAACACTGGATTTTATTTTGCTGTTGTACACCTTGGTGTTCTTGATATGTAAGATTTATTTTGGAAAACTGTAAAAACTCATTCTTAATTTTCTGATTCATATGATGCATTACATCTTGAGTCAACTCCAGTTGAGATTCCAATAACTTCTGTAGCGCTGACCCATTCTTCTAATCAAGCCAGTGCTTTAAGTCTTTTCCCACATGCTGTTACTAAATATTGTCATATAAAATTGGATGCTTGACAATAGAACATATTTTATCAGAAAAATCTAAAGCCTTGCATTTCCTCTGGAAATGGAATTCAAATATTGAAGTGACATTGAGTCATACATGCCTTTAATAATTTCATCTGGTTTGCATTATGAAATCTACTGTACCTGTAACTTGACTGTGCATATACTTGATTCTGACAGCACTTTAGAGATATTAAAGCATTACCATTTCCCCATATTTACTTAGAGTGATGATTTCATATTATCCATTAGAGATTTAAAGAGCAACATTTCATACCTTGTGTAATGTCAGAGTATGCTATGCAGGAGAGAAAACAGCTGGCATCTCAACAAATTTCTGATATTTTAGTAAGCAACACAGTGACTGTCCTGTAATGCAACATTGACAGTATTTTTACTTTGCTATCCTCCTAACCAGTCAATGAGCTTTAAGATGTACATTACAAGATTGTTGGTTTAACAGATTGGAATATTTCTTGGGCAGTGTGATTTTGAACAGTATATTTTTCCATGATCTGTTTTCACACATCAGTTATACTTGGACTTCATACCAATAATATTTTTCTTAAGCAAAATTGATACAAAAGGGTACACTTTTCAAATAATAAGGAAATATTAAAATTAATAATAAAAGTAGTCTGAGGCCACTTCTTACTTTTAGTACTAAGTCTTCAAGTGTGACATAACCTTTTAGATGTGTCATAAAATTCTGTATATGCTTACGTGCAGTCAAATTGCGATTACACTACTGATATAATAATTTGGTTACAGCACTAATCCGTGAAGTGTAAAAATGAGTAAGGATTCTTGGAAAGCCAGTGTTGTATAAAAGCGGAAACCTACACTAAGTGATCTCTGACATCAGTTCCTAAATTACAGAGGAGAAATAAGTGGAAGCCAATCTATTTGCCATTGGAAATAATCTCACTGTCTGCCAATAAACCTTCTATTATCATGTTGAATCTTTTCCCCTTTGTTACTTCTTAAAAATCTGTAGCCTTTCTGAACCTGTTTAAAACAATAATTAGAGTTTACTCATTAGTTTCCATGAGGAGAAGTTGAAGATGTGTCATATGTTTCTATGGATCAATTGTACTGTTGTTTCAAAGAATTGTTTCCTTGACTGTGGTAAAAACAAACCAAGTAAGTCCATTTGCTCACAATTCATGTCTGTGAAAAATACCACCACAAACTGTCCTGTAAAACCTTGACGGGACTGTAGGGAGGGAACTTTATCGGAGATCATAATCTCACAGACTGAATTTTAATGTTACCCTATCTTGGGAGACACTTAAGAAATCTTATCTTAGTAATAGAAGATATATGACTATGGCTGCTGCTTACAGCTCTTCCTTGTCTCATAACTGAACCAACTGCAAATATGCAAGATGAGTATGGTATGAACAAAAAAGTAAGTTGGCCTGTTCCTTTCAGGGTAGACATTAGAAAAAGAAAGCTTGAAAGCTAGTTCAGAGAAGACTGTGGGCTTCATGAAGTGTCTTAGAAAAAACATAGGTTCTGTATCCCTAAGCTACAGTGAATAGAGTCTTCAGAGCTGATATTCACTTTCTCAGGAATTTAACCTTTATTTCTGTGTTAAAGCCCTACAGTGCCTTGATATTCCCAAGACTGAACAACATGGGCTTTATTTGGTTTATTTCCCTTGAACTGTGAGGACCATAAGCCAAACATTCTTTTGCTTAACCTGGTGGCTATTTGCTGAAGAGGCTCAATAAATGGAGTACTAGCTGACACTTTTTTAAAGCACATCAGTTGGAAGACCCAATAAAAGTAGAAGTTGTTGTTTCAACTGCTTTTTTGGCCTGCCTAAACCAGTGTTTGTCTTCTAAGAGGAGCATCTGAAATATTCACCTGTAAGCTCATATCTAAGTAGGAGCCATTTCTTGCTAAATTTGCTGTTTAACTCCTTAGAACTTAAACTTCTAGTGCAATGCTGTTAGCTGTCATGGAACAGTTAGGCTTTTTGGACAAGATCTTTGAGTAGAAACTTCTACTGTTTGGGTGGTTTTGTTTGTTTTTTGCAGTGGGATTTCCAGTTTGGGGTTTTTTGTTTTTTGGTTTTTTTGCTTTGCTAAGTTACTTGCCCCCAGCAAAGAAATCTCTTTTGCCTCATCCATGTCTCCCCTCCAATCTTGAGCATAACCTCTCTCCTTACCTACTGGTTTATAGTGACACATCTGTGAGAGCTTTGCTCCAGCTTCTGGAAGAGGGAAGGACAGTATTTCTTTATTTCTTGGAAAGAGGGCACAGTCTGCTTAACATTGGTCTTTCTGGCTGATTGTGGCATTTCTTTCTTTCCTTACACAAACACAGCTTCCTTCAGCTCCTAAATTAACCATCAGTTATCTAGAAAACCTTCTGGTTCACATTCTCTTTCTGCTCTTGGCCCCTGATGTTCTTTGAGTAATAACTTCCATTGTTAGTTACTAATACATAAAGATTATTTAATTGCTCATATTTTGTATGAAGTCTGTTTAGCTCACCTAATTTACCAGGATTGTGATATCAGCTGTTTACACTTAAAAGTACAATGGATGATTGATGACTAATGTTATTTTCTGAAACTGTTTTCAAATATTATTTCAATTCATATCGGAGGAAGCTTTAGGCAAAATCTGGATGATCTCATCTTCACTTTCTAAATGGAAACAAGAATTAAAGTGAAGAAGGTAGCCTGTTAACATACCATGCTTTTAAAGTTATTGCTCTGATACGACAGAGCTTTTTTCCCCTATTTTCTAAAAAGATGTTTTAGATGGTAAGAGTGTCTTTTTCTTTCACAGAGACTGTGCTAAATCAGATGGCTTGCTTTATCTCTTGATCATAATTTTTTAAGTCTCCTACTGCCTCAGAATTTATGATTCTAGTTATTGTAGTTCTAGGTAAGTTCATACTTCTTAGATTTTTAAATCCACAAACTCATAGATACCATTCTGTAGGTATATAAGTGCACTTGAATTAACTTTATTAATTTGGAACAGTTGGTGTACTTTATACCAGCTGTAATGCATTAACATTACTATCTTCATCAATTCATTAGGCTTGAGCAGAAGTGGGAGGTGGCAACCTTTTCAGGAAAAAAAAGCCTGTAAAATGGATTTAGAATTTAATACAAATTTTTAGCTCTGTTTTCAAGTATCTGCTGTATGATATTTGTTTATTAGAATCTGTTCCTGTGTTAGATGTCAGTTCTATTTGTTGTTGGGGTTTTTTTGTTGTTTGGGTTTTTGGTTGGTTTGGGGTTTTTTTGTTGTTTTTGTTGGCTTGTTTTGGGTTGTTATTTTTTTTTCTGGAAACTCATATTATAGAATAATTATACATCTAGGACATTATTTCTCTCCTGTTTTGATATGAATCATGTTTGAGAAGTGAGTGTTGTATTCTGTCTGTTGAAGGAGTTGACAAATTTACTAAGTATAAACGTATAAAATTAGGTGAAGTCCCTTTTCATGAATTTCTGTTTGGATGCCTAGTTCCTGTTCAATTTTACCAAGATAATTAAATGACATAGATGAGATGCTCAAGTCTGTGTTTAAAAAGAAGGAAGCTGATATATGTTTGTGAAGTCCTTTCTAAAAGTAATTGAAAGAGGCAGGATATTTAAACAGTATTGCTTAGGGACAGTAATTTTCAATTTCATTGCTTTTTTGGAACTTTGTGTATCTAAAGCTGCCTGAAAAAATCTCATGCTTGTCCTAGCAAAAGGAGGAAAATACGAGAACGATGCCAAATACACCATTATTCAAGAAGATAATTGAGAATAATCCAAATATCCAATAGCAAATGAGTCTGATGGTAAACCTGGGCAAAACAGTAGAAAAACTGATACAGAATTTTAGGGGGAAAACCTAAAGCACAATAATAGTGCTAAAGCTTAGTTGGTGCATTGTTTTAATTCTTTATAGAGAGTATACTCTTGCATGACAAACTTGATTTTGTTAGTGGTGGAGATTACAAATTTATTTTAAAATGTGTGGCTGTTTTTGACTCCTGAAAATTTTTCGATGAAGATGGGATATTTATATAGCAGATTTAGGTAAATTGACAATAGACTTAGCTCTTATTTGTTTTTTATGGATTTCTTGGAAGTACTGATGGAACCACAGATACGGGTGAAAATTGCGGGTACGATAGGCTTCTTGTAGCACTTAGTTTAGTAACATCTGATAAAGTTATTCCTGGATAATGTCAGTAAGTGTTTAAGTGGTTAAGAACTGCCTATACATAGGCTGAAGGGAATCATAATGGAGATACTGTTTGTGGGTTTTTGCAGGAAATCAGTACTGGATTTTTCTGTTAGCCAGTATTTTTCTCGAGAACGTGAAAATAAATATAAAAATCACTGTTAGCATCATTAGCTAATCTCATTAGTGTTTTTAGACTGTTCAGTAATAGTAGAGGCATTAATACGGAACAATACAGGTTGAAAATTAATTCAAATGTGGTCGCTTCAAAGTTGTATGTCTGAGAACAAGATATAGGTCATGTAAAGCAGAAAAAAGAAAGAGGAGGAAAGACCGTGTTCTGGAAAACTATGGCTCTGTAGAAGGTATCTCCCACAGTGAACAAGGCTTCCCAACATTATGCTGAGGCAAAGGGCTAATGTGATTCTTGAAGGTCTAAATTGGAGGTTGTTACATAAAATCAGCTGACTCATCTCCTATGACCTCTACACTCAGTACTGACTGACTGACACCGAAACATTGCAGGTTTTGCAGCTTTTATAAAACTGTAGATGATGCAAGGTGAGTATCTGGAATTATTTCCTTAAACTGAGAGTTTGCATTACTTCAGTCTTTCCCATTTATGAGAAACAAGAACAGGAGGTCACTTGATTATTTTGTGGAGTATATTCACATAAAAAGTACTTATATTGGTAAGCAGCAAAGACTTGAGATGAGAAGGGAGTAATACTCAGTGGATGGAAGATGGATCTGGATATAATTTTTCTATACTGAAGGTATGGAATGATGGGAATGTAATGAATTTTAACTTTTCCTGGTGTCTTCATAGGAATATCTTTCTAGTGGATATTTATTGAAACCCAAGTCATTGAGCTCAGGGCAGTGTGAGCAGAGGGGAAGTATAATGACACATGATGTGTGGAAGACTGGACTAAATCTCAGGGCTCCTCAGTCTTTGCATGCTATGGATTTAAACATGTGAGTCACACATCCGTTCAAATTCATTAGCTTCAGTCAGTGGCTTGACATTCAGGAGGTGATGTGGAACAGATCCTGAGGATTTGTCATTCCTCTCTTGATTTTTGAGGCAAATAAAGAAAAGAGCATTTGTTACTTTTGTTTTTCAGCCAAACCCCAGTGCATATAGGTAAAGAGGGGTCACCTTTTTTGTTTCCAGGGCACAGCTGCTTCTGAGGATAATGAAAATCAGTTCTGCTCTGCCCAGCACTCTGGTCAGGGAGGGTATGTCTCTGGTGTGCTGCAGTTGCTTTGCCTGGGATTGAGAGAGAGAATAAGATACATAGGAATGTGATCTGCTGGCTGGTATGAATTACAGTAATACAGTCATTGCTGCTTTATGATCTAAGTAGGTATTTTTAAATGCATGTCTCAGTCCTGATTTTTTTTGTGGCTTTGTTTTGGTTCTTTGGTTGGTTGGTTGGTTTTTAACCTGGGATTATGTGGTGCTGAACTGATCATATTTGTATCTAGGAAAGACAACTACTGAACATCCAAAGCAGACTGAAGCATTTATTGTCTTAGCACTAACTTAAGATTATCTATAGCTATTTCTCCCTGTGAATTTTTTATACTTTCTCTATAATTGTGGTTTGGAATCACTGCAAGGTTCTCAAACTTTAGCGGTGACAGAGAGAGAAGCTTCTGGCAATGATTCCTGAGCTTGCTTGCTGAAGAGACAATAGAGTGACCTTGGCACTTCTACACAGACTCCAGAGATGAATAAAAGGCACAATGTAAGAT